CAACATTCCCATGAATGATCATTTTCTATGTGTGTCTCTATACAAATATTCTATTGTGCCTGTGTTTAATTTTTTACATAAAATAGCATCATAATATACACATAATTTCATAATTTTATTTTTTCTTTCAACATTAAGCTTCTGAGAAGTCTTCATATCCATATGCATAGAAGTGGTTCATTAATTTTAACTGCAATATGATATTCTGCTGTATAAATAGTCATCCATTCCTCTGCTGATGAACATTTAGGTTTTTCTATTTTTTCTAGGATAAACAATGCTGCAATGAGCATCCTCTTGTATGCCTCTTTGGGCACAGGTTACCTTTTCAACTTTAATTTTGACAAATTTTTCTTCACTAGCATTCTTCCTGTGTAGATACGTCCTGTGTGAATACTCAAAACCACTTATTAATATTATTATATTATATTTAATGTCAATTTACAAGTATAAAATGTTATCTCATTATTACTTATCTTGCATTTCCCTTATTTCCAGTATGGATGATCATCTTTTTATGTTTACCGGCCATTTGGATTTTTATCTCTGTGAATGCAATATCATTTGCCCATCTTTTATTTCTTACCTTTTTATCTTTTTCTTACTGTTTTGGTGGTATTCTATACATATTATTAATGCTATATCCTTTATCTGTTAATTGTCTACAATTGCATTTATCAGTCTTTTTATTTCTGGCTACTATAGACTAGTTCTTATGCCTTTCCAAGGGTTAAGTTCTTGCTACACAAAATGTGATTTATGGAGCAGCAGCAGCAGCAGGCAACTTGTTTAAAATGTAGATTCCCTAGGCCCACACTAGACCTGTGGAATCAGAATCTGAATTTCAACAAGATCACTAGATGATTTGTATGCAGATTGAAGATTTTTAAATACTGGAGTAAATAATTAAGAAAGGAACAAAAGTGCAAAATTTCTTCTCTGGGGTAATGGCACAGTAGACCCCACCTGCCTTCTGCTTCTTCTTCATAAATAAAACTCCTGGCTCTGTACCTGTGAGTCTTCAGTTCATATATCCTAGAGCTGCACTAAAAAAAAATTCAGAAATCAAAGAAGCCATTAGAATTTGTTTTGTAAATGTGGATGTTTACAAAATTTCACAGTGGAATTTGCAAAGTGGAGAAACACCTGTTTATCAGCTTCCAAACAGCGATGGCAGCTGCATTGTAATGCAACTCAAAACGCAAGCCTTGGAAGTTTTGTTGAATGCTGTCAAGAAAGAAAGGAATTCAGCTAGGACGCAAAATCCATCAAATGTCTTCCTTGTTCATCCATGCCTGTACTTTCAGTTGACACAAAATGCTCCAGAAATGAATAACAACTAGAATTAATAGAGGAAATTGCCAAGACTTGTACATGTTGTCAGATGTGTGATGATTTCTGTGTATCAACACGATTTCTTGAGGAGTATGAGTGTTCGGTTGTGTATAAAGGGGGCATCCAAGGAGTACATGACCGCAGCTGAGAGTCATAAAATTATACCTTAGAACACCCTGACTTCTCCAAGACGAGGTAGATGGCTTCCCAGGTGTAAAACCATCTGACTGCAGGGATTGTAGCCGAGGTGTTTACTGCACACTGAATGTCCACAGCTCTTCCACTTTCTCAGTCCCATGTAGCAGTAGTATATTGTGAAAGGATGGCTTTCTTCCTGTCCTCCTGTTAAGCTGAAGGGTCGTCTCTCCTTCCAGCTAAGGCCACTCCCTCCACATGGGGTCTGAATGCCATCTCCTCCTGCCTCATGCCTCACATTATTGATCATTCCTTCAATCTCCTGAACCTGCATTCTCTTCCCCTCTGTTCAGTTCAGCCCCTCAGCATTCTCAAGTCTCTCCAAGCATAACAAAAGCCCTCCATCTACCTCACTTTCCCCTCCAACTACCGTCTCTCCTCCCCTTCTCTATCGCTGTCTCTATCTATTCCATCTCTACTTCCTTTCTCTAAAGCTTTCACTCTCACATCTCTCCCTCACATTCTCCCACTCTTTATTCCAATATTGCTTCTTCTTCCATCAGTCTCTCAAACAGCTCTTTTCAACTCTGCTAATGATCACTGCATTGCTAAATTCAGTGAGCATTCAGTTTTCACCATATTTAATTTCTCAGCATTCTGTGACCCAACTGACCACACCCTCCTCTTTGAAACATTCTTCGATAGGATCTCCCTCTCTGGTCACTCTATCTCCTTTTCAGCTCCATCATCTCTTGCTGATACTTCACGACCCATCATAGCTTTTTCCTTCTCATTCTATAGTCACTCTCCAGTCCTTCACCTGTTCCCAAGGCTGCTATCACCACATAGACCCAGGCATTCCTCAGGGATGTGCTTACACTTGGGGCTTGTATTAGTCCGTTTCTGTTGCTTGTAACAAAGTACTTGAAACTGGGTGACTTTCTGAGGCTGGGAAGTCCAAAGTCCATCTGGTGGCGGTGACAGTGACCCAGGGGTGTCACATTGCAAGATGGTGGAAGCAGAGAGAGACAGACTTCGTGCTCCCCCCCCCCTTTTTTTTTGACCCGTAAGGGGATCACAAACCTTGGCTCAGTGTTGTCAGCACCACGCTCAGCCAGTGAGCGCACTGGCCATCCCTATGTAGCATCCGAACCCATGGCCTCAGCACTATCAGCATCGCACTCTCCCAAGTGAGCCACGGGGCCGACCCCATGCTCCCCTTTTAAAGCCCTCCAAACCATGCCCCTGACCACCATTTTTAATCCATTCACTACAGCATGATCCTATAATCTCATCACCTCTTCAAGGCTCCACCTTTCAATTACCATAATAGGATTTCCCACCCACTTAACAGTCATAGTGGGGGCTAAGTTTCTGATACATAAAACTTGGAGGACAAAATTCAAGCTTCAGTGAGTTTTGGGGGGACATAATTCAATCCACTACAGGGCTCCTGTTCACCAATTGCCTGTTCAGCTCATCACCTCCACTTTGCAGTCCTAGTGTGCTCTAGGCTGAACTCCTTAGGTTCTCATTGCCCCGCCTACCTAACTCTGATCTCTCCTGCTCCTTCCTCAGTGATCCCCACCTCAGAAAATGGCACCACCCTCCTCCTATTTGCTAATGTTGGAAACCAGGGAGTAGGACTGCATCAATACCTTTGGGAGCACACAGCACCAAAATGCGCTTTACTGTATTTTGAAATAAAAAACAAAAAACAAAAGCATTTTCATCACTAAAGTGTCTTTAAAAATTCTCATTTCTCCCATAGCGGCTATTATGATGCTTTTTAAAATGAATGTCAAATCCTTTTCAAGATCTAGGGTCCCCTTCATTGCTGTTGCTTTAAGAGTTATTTGGTAATCCAGCACTGGCTAGGAGTCAATAACCAGACGGCATTTCCTGTTGATTCTACCACCTAAAATATTTTCAAATCTGCCTGTTCCTCTTTGGTGCCAATTCACTGTCCTCCAAGCCAGCCTGACCACTTGTATAAGTTGCTGCAATAACCTCCGAACACTCCTCCTGCTTTAGTGGACTCTCCGCAAAGCAGCCAGGCCAGGCAGAAGGATTTCAGGAACACACATAACTGATCCATCCTGTCCTGTCATTCCACTGCTTAAAATACCTCAGTGGTTTCCTACTGTCCTTAGGATAAAATCTCAGATCCTTAACAGGCCCAAGACCCTGCCATCTCACCAGGAGCCAGCCTTGCCTCATTGAGTTCCTGGAAAAAGCCAAGCTCCCTATGAGCCTTTGCACACAGTTTACTCTCTGCCCAGAGCTCTCTCATCCCTCCCAGCTTCTCCTTCTTCAGTTCTCAGATTTAATGTATTTTTGTCAGATAAGGTTTTCTTAACCTCCCACACCAGGTCAATGCTCCTTATTAAACACTTTCTTAGTAACACCCACTCCCACTTTGTGCATAAATGATTATTTGTGTAACAGCTAATTTCATGGTCCCTCCCTATTTAAATGGAAAATTCCTGACAAAAAGTTGATAACACCCACTACACACAAGTAATTCAGGGATCCTTGAACCCAGCTTTGTCTGAAAGCCCCTGCTCACAATTACCTAAATTGTGTACATAAGTACATAGAACTACTCATCCTGCAAGATGACTTTGTCTATTTTATGATTGCCAAGCGTTGATGTACGAGAAACCAAGGTTTGACTAGAAAAATATAAGATTGCTCAGAGAACCCTAAAGCAATGACATTCTGCTGTTGATGCATGTTCCTGTCAGTAGTGGAGCATATACACCCCAGCTTTTTCCTTCCCATTTTTTTCTTTTGTGGGAGGACACAGGCGGGCAGTTCTGAATACAGGATGAACTGGCTGAGCTGGAGCCAGCTCTACCATGATATAATCTCCACATCCATACACAGGGGTGACATTAATCACCTTACAGGGCTGTAACTATTCTTTCGTTCAAGAAATATTTAATGAGCATTTAGTATATGCCGGGTCTTGGTTTACATGCGGGGGATACAGGATATAAAACGTTAACTCACTTAATGTTATAGGTAGTCCCTATCGCTACTATTATCACGGTAAAGTGTCAACATTTGCTTGTGTCACATAGCTCGACTCAACTGAGAGCGTATGTGAAATTCGTGACGTCCTCACTATCCGGGCGGGGTCGCTGCAGGGCCTGGACCTCCCCTGGCATAAGTCCGCGCGCGCTCCGGAGCATCACCCTAAGGCGTGCCTGCCCCTCCTCTCCAGGCCGCCAGAGGGCGCGTGGTCTCTTACGCACCTTCGCAGTGTCTACGCCTGCGCAGCAACGGCCGCCGCGCCCCTCCCCCCGGCGCCCGCCCCGCCTCGCGCCGTAACGCTCCGCCTCCGTTGCCCCTAGCGGCTGTTTGTTGACTTCCGGGAACGCGGTTGTGGCCAATACCTAGTGTCGCTATGGGGGTCCGGGGGGCTTCCATGGTCCACGTCGGGGCTGAGGCGCTGCCTTAGGCCCAACCGAGTCGCCCCCGCTGCCCTCTTAGTCCAGGCGGACGCTCCTCGTACCGCCCTCAGCATGGAGGAGCCGGATGAGCTGGTGCCCGGTGAGTCGCGCCCGCGGCGTTGGCGGCGGGCCGGGAGGGAGGGTCCGCAGGCGGGCGGGCGGCCGACCAGGCCCCGCCTCCGGCTCGGCCCCGTCGGGGGACAGGCATGAGCTTTGGCGGCCTGACTGGTGCCGGATTGACAGGCATGAGCTTTGGCGGCCTGACTGGGGCCGGATTTCTGGCTGCGCCCCCGGGAGTGACTGAGGGGAAAGGAACAGACGGGAAGGATGGGACGGGTGACGACGGGGAAGGGGTTAGCTTCAGACTTGTGCATGTTGGAGGTTCCCGGACCCACTTATATATTGAATTAAGTAAAGAGTGGGTGACCAGGGGCTGTGGGGTAAAGGGGGATGGAGAGAGCGGGAAAAGAGGGAGCCTTTAGCGAGTATTTTTTAGACCTTTCCCCCTGATTTAGAAATACATTTGCCGTTGTGACCTGGTACCGCATACATACTGTGTAACTAAAATAAACGTTCCATGAAGCAGTACTTGTTCTAACCACTTGGGATACACTCAGAGCTTTTCTGTAATACTTTTCTTTAAAAATGCTGATCGTGACCACTAAATTGATTTTCTGACCCACTAATGGTTCACGGCCAACCGTTTGAAAAAACACTGGGTTAGAGCAGAATCATACTTTCACTGAAATGTGTATTGCATTTTCTGCCGTGCCCCTGGCTTGAACAGGATTAGCTTCCTGGCCTCCTGGAGTTCACAATTTAGTGAAAGGTACAAGAAAGTAAACAAAACGAAAATACAGCTTGACAGCAGATGCCAGGGGGTCAGAACAGAGCTCCCAAACCCTGGCTTGGTGTAAGAGTATCAGGGAAGGCTTCCCAGTGAGCCAGGACAAAGGAGTTAAAATGATTCGTTCTGGGGAACCCCAAATCTTATTAGTTTGAAATGAATGCCTCACAGTGGTTCTCAAAAAGTTTTTCATAGTGGCTGGTCTCTTGCACATTAATATTTATTATTAATATTTGTATTTCACTTAATATAACTTTCTAATTATATTAACTGAAACAAGTCGGGCACAGAAAAAGAAATACCACATGTTCTCACTTATTTGTGGGAGCTAAAAATAAATAAATATACAACAATAAATGGTGGTGGGGGGAAGAAGACACAACAATCACAATTCCTTGATCTTGTTAAGAAAAGTGAACAGATATGACGTAGTTGGGGGGGAGGGGAGAGGGAGGGAGGAAAAAGAGGAATTGGTAAAGGGACACAAAAATCAACTACAATGTATATTGAGAAGTTAAAATAAAATAAAAAATATATATTTATATTTGCTTTGTTTTCATTTGTGGTACCAATTACTTTATGTGTGATCATCCTCCCTAGGATTTGCTCAAAAGCTGGATCTGGCCTCCTATGTGGTGTGTGTGTGTAAATGGTTATTGGAAACTAGTAGCAGTTTGGTCTCTCTCCAGAATGGTACTGGACCAAAGCAGTTAGTGGGTAGTGGAGACAGTCTATACTCTCAGTAACCTTAGAATATAGTTAAGAAAACAAAATGTTGATCAACAAAAAGATTTGTGTAATAGTTTGATTAGAGAAGTTGCTAGGTAGTACATAATTAATTGCCATTAAATTCTACAGATCATGTAGTTCAAAGTAGCCAATGATTATTTCCAATTCTTACGGTAGAGGAAGAGTTCACAGAGGCAGTTATGAACTAAAGTGTTGGGGATGCTAGGCACTGTACTAGGCTCTTTACACATGTCATCTCATTTAATCCTTATAACAACCCTATGAGATTGGTGTAGCCCAATGTTTCACAACTGTGAACACACTGTACATTTATTCAGCCAGCTTCTGTTGGGTTTGAACCTGCACCAGTTTCAGGGTATATAAAAAGGAATATTGGTACTTAGGACCCATCCCATTAATGACCATAGCTATTGAAGGAGAAGTCTAAGGCTCAGTGAAGTGACCTATTCAGGATCATGTTGCTAATTATTAGCAGAGTGAGAATTTGAATACACAATTGCCTTTAAAGCCTATGTTTTGTTTTGTTTTGTTTTTCCTAGCTACCTTCCTGTAGTGCAAATGAAAAAGGTAGTGTTTGAATAATTTGTTTCACTCTTTCATGCTTTTAGTTTTATGGGTATTTATTAGAATTACCAATAGAGAAATTAAGAGTTCACCATTTGGGGTAACATTCCTTTCCTTGCATGAGAACACTGGGGGTTCTTTGGGAAAACTGGACCAAAGAAAATCCAAACTGACTTACATAGACCCTCCCCATGGATATCCTGATGATGCTGATGAAGAAATTCAATATTGTTCTGTTTCTGTGTGCAGATAAAAGCCCTCAGTCAGGGGCCAGACCATGAGGTGTTAACTATAGTGAGTAGGGCATGAATTGTACCAGCTCATTCCAAGGAACAGATATCCACCTGGTTACAGCAGAGCTATTAGTAATAGATAACTGCTGCTTCCTTATGAGAGTATATTTCTTACTTTATACCAGTAAGTGAAAAGTGCATGTTCAATTAAGTAGATTTCATAGATCAAAGCAGAATGAAGTCTGAGGAGTAAGACTGAATTAAGGTGGAAGAAGGAAGGCTTAAACAGTGCTAGAGCAGGGCTAAAGCTGTCACAAGACAAGGAATTTGTATCCATAAATTACTGAAAAAGTATTTTAATAATAGGCAACATAGTAAAAGTTGTAAAATATAAACCATCTTATATTTGCAGATACGGGTGCTGTTTTTACATTTGGAAAAACCAAGTTTGCTGACAATATTCCCAGCAAATTCTGGTTTAAAAATAATGTACCTATACATCTTTCGTGTGGAGATGAACACACTGCTATTGTTACAGGTTAGTGTTAACAATCCTAAATGAGGACAGTGATACTTAGAGAATGCTAACTATTATAGATGTGCTGTGTTTTAAATATGTTGCTTTTATATTTTGTCAGAGAATTTTTCACAAGTTGATTCATCAAGAGAGTCTTTTAAATTTCAAGTTCCCCTGGTATATTTAACTATGATTTTCTATACACGTAACTTTCTTGGAATAAATCTATTTCAATATAATTTAAAAAACTGTTACTGTATAATCTTTTGCACCATCATAAACCTGAAAAATTGTAAGTCAACCATCCTAAGTCAGGGACTGCCTGTATAGCTTTTTTATTGCCTTGTGATGACTTCATCTTACATTATTTGTGTGAAAAATGCTTCAATTTATTTTTTCTTTTTCTCTCCCACCAGGAAATAATAAACTTTACATGTTTGGCAGTAACAACTGGGGTCAGTTAGGATTAGGATCAAAGTCAACTGTCAGCAAGCCAACGTGTGTCAAAGGTTTGGGGTCTCTTTTTCTTTATCACTTTACTTAACAAACTATATAAAGTACTTTTATATTGATTGTGTAGTTCTTTAATGTCATATTATAAATAATAAAGCCTTTAGTTCTTTATTTTATGACAATTGCTTGAATATTATTAGCATGTAACTTATTTTTATGTGATATTCAGAACTACTTTTATATGTTAGGGTCTAAAAATCTCATTGATTTTAAACCCAGGGACAACAAAGGAAGTAATGATTATACAGAGTTGTATTTGAACATCCTTCCTGGGTTTTTTTTGTGTTTTTTATTTTTCTTATTTGTAAAACTACTTAAATATTACTGTTATTGTGTGTTATTGTGTATACAAACATAATGTGTTAGAATTTTGAGCTCTGTCTTATTTAATACCGTTGTGGATATCATGGTTCTATGTAGTGGCTGGTTTTATAAAACATAGTTTATCCTGCTGTATATAGTGAGCAGATGAACTGAACAAAACTTTGAGACTAGGGTAGATTAGTACTAAAAGAACAACAGCACAAAATGCAGTGAACTCTCGGTATTCAGGGGTTCCACATCAGTGGATTCAACCAACTGGATTGAAAATGTTTGGAAAAAATAAAAATAAAAAAATAACAATACAACAATAAAAAATAATACAAATAAAAATAGTACAGTATAACAACTATTTACATGGCATTTACATTGTATTAGGTATTATAAGTAATCTGTAGATGACTTAAAGTATACAGGAGGAGGATGTGCATAGGTTACATGCAAATACTATGTCCTTTTATATCAGGGACTTGAGAATCTCTGGATTTTGGTGTACACAGCAGTCCTAGAACTGATACCCCGTGAATACTGAGGGATGACTGTACTCGTATTTGAAATCAAGACTGTCAGAAAACATGGGGTATATAATACCTATATAAAGCTTCCTTGCTGTTATATACAAAGCCTCTGGGTATAACCTGTGAACATCAACTAAACTTGAAGGGTGATGGAGATTCTTTGGGATGTGATAAGAGCAGTATTTATCTTCCTGGCCAAATTTTAAATTTCAGCTCAAAATTTCAGTGTAGCTTATTCTATTCATGCTATTTATAAGTGCTGTGACGGGACTTTTAAAGTATTCCATGTTGTCCAAAAATGTTTATTGAGCACAGTCTGTGAAACACTTGGGGATATTCATGGTGACCGTGATCCTTACTCTGAAATATCTTCTAATAGACAAGCCAACAGGATTGTCTAGATTATGAGATCCTAGAGGCTAGAGACTCCATCTTAGTCATCTTTGCAGCCCCTATGCCAAGCACTTAGGAGATGTTCCAGAAATGTTTTTTGAGTATGTAGATTCATTCATTCATCTTTAACACAGATGTATGCCTATGAATATCAGAATTACAATTTTTCATTGAGTGCAGTAAAAGGTGAACTCGATAATGGTGATGGCAGGTTAGGTAATGGATCAGATTGGTAAGGAGGCAGCATAGCAGAATGTAGTGTATCTCAGCACAAATTAATTATCTGTGGAGTTTTTAAAAATATATAGATGCCTGGGCTCTACCTCAGACTTACTGACCCAGATTCTCCAAGGATGGGGCTAAGCTATCTGTATTGTTTCCAAAGCTCCACTGGTTATTATGATGCACAACTAGTTCTGAGTACCTCTGGTTTAGTAGTTAAGAACATTGACATTGGAATCAGACAGGACTGCTTTTAAATCTCAGTTCTACCACTTAGTTACCATTTGGCCTGGATTATTGATCATTTTCATAACTATAAAATATTTTAATCATCATATTTTTATACTTTTAGCTCTAAAACCTGAAAAAGTGAAATTTGCTGCCTGTGGAAGGAACCACACCCTAGTTTCAACAGGTATAGTGTTCAACCTGTTTAACTTCTGCCTGACTTTGAGAACTGAGGTCTCCCTTGAGTAACATTTGTTGCTTTATGAAATTAATACAAATTGTACCTTGGCAACAGTAAGATTAGGATTTTTAAAAATGGTTAGTACACGTTTGCCTTTGCAAATATGCAGATTAATTCTAACTAGCTGAAGAAAAAGCTTTTTTTCATGGATTATATCAAGGAACAGCATCTCTTTACCCTGCATACCTCAGGGGCTGGTTGTTCCTGTTCTTACTGTTACCTCTTCTTTACTGAGGGTGAGTGAAAGCCACCCAAAAGGCTATTGATGTGAGTGAGCACAATTAAAATCAAAATCCAGACAGACTTTGTGTGTGTGCGTGTGTGTTTGTAGAAATTGACAGGGTGCTTCTAAAATTTATATGGAAGAGCAAAGGACATAGAGTAGCCAAAACAATTTTGGAAAAGAACGAAATTGGGGAACCGGCAGTACCTGATTTCAACACCTATTGTAAAGCTACAATAATTAAGACAGTGCAGTGTTGGCAAAAAGATAGACAATGATTAATGGGACAAAATAGAGTCCTGATACAGTAGACCCATATGTATATGCCCAACTAATTTTTGGCAAAGTTGCCAAGGCAATTCAATGGAGAAAGCATAGACTTTTCAGCAAATACTGCTGGAACAATTAGACTTCTAGGCCTGATCACTGAGCAGTCCTTCCTACCCCCTTTCCCTCCTACACAGCTTATTCTGTCTTGAGGCTGTTCTCACTGCCTTGGCTCCTTCTCACATCTTCCTCATGTCTCAGCCCTCATTCACACTTTTCCCTTTCTGAAATGTCTTTTTCTTTTCTCTTAGCCTATTCAGATTTCTGTCTTTTGAGATCCCATATATCTTTCTTCTTCCGTGGGACTTTTTGTGACTATTCAACTTTTTACTCATCTAGGTCTCTGAATTATTTTAGCATTTCACCAACTCTGGTTTGCTCCATGTGTGTTAAATTGTACAGTCCAATTCTATGTTGCTTTCTACTATCTTCCATTTGAAAACTAGTCTTTTTTCCACAATTAGATTTCATTTTTTTCTTAAATAATATCTATTTTTAAATTTTTACTGATTCAGATTGATTTTGCTCTCAGTTCCCCCTATAATTTAGCAAGTCTTTCACTTCATGTGTACTTTTGTGACATATGTAATTAACTTAACATGTGTGATTAAAAATATTCATTAATTTAGAGTTTACTGAAAAAGTTTATAATCTAGGCATGATAAACTTCTTATTTAATTAAGAAACTAATTAACAAACATTTAATTACTGTTTACAATGAGCCGAATGCTGTTCTAAGATTTTTACAAATGCCAACTAATTTAATCTTCATAGCAACTCTATGAAGTAGATATTATTATACCCATTTTATAGATGAGGAAAATAAGGCAAGCTGGAATTTGCACCCAGGCAGTGTGGCTCTGGAGTCTTTCCTCCTAAATGCAGTGCTATACTGCCCTCCTATTTAGGTAGAAAATTAAAATAATTTTGCAACATAGAATTATCATGTTTCTAATTATGTTCTTGGATTTGCCTCATTTTATTTATTTGTACTATTATATCTTAGTTTTAATGGATATGGAACTTAAAATTAATGAACCACATCTCTTCTAAAATAGTTTGATTTGAATTTTAGAGTAATTTGGAAGTTACTTTCTTTTTTACTCTGAATTTCTAAAGTACTGTATTAGCAAGAATATATATTCCACGCATTTTGTGCATTTCAATTGCTTGTTAAACTGTAGAATGATTTATAAAATCTCACAAAAAATGTATGGCATTGCTTGTTTTGCTCTATTTTTGACAATGAAATGAAGCTGTTCACCAAATAATAGAATAATGGTAGCTTTCAACTTTCTTTACTGTTAATAGAGGAAATATCTGGTATACAGTGACCTGTCTCATAAAGAGGGTCATTATAGTATTGATGTTTTCTTTTCCGTGTGCAGAAGAAGGCAAAGTATATGCATCTGGAGGAAATAATGAAGGGCAGTTGGGACTTGGTGACACTGAAGAGAGAAACACTTTTCATCTAATTCAATTTTTTACATCCCAGCATAAGATTAAACAGCTTTCTGCTGGATCTAATACTTCAGCTGCACTAACTGGTGAGAGATTTGTTTCTTTTTAATCTGGGGCACATCCTTTTCCTTTAGATCAGAATACACCAACTAAGTAAACAGAAGACAGCATTGCTGTTTAGTTTTCCTTTATTGATTATGTGCTGTCAGAGACATTTAAAATATAATTTTAAATCTTGACATATTACAATTTTATGCTTATTTAGAATAAGATATAAACATACATTTAGAAGGTAATTGGCAAATAAATCCTAAGTTATGCTGTTCATCTACTTCTTTAGGTATTATTAAATGTTATCTTCATTGTGTGCTCTGAAAGGTATACTTGCAGCTTTAACTGAAATTGCTATCAGAAGCATCTGCAGAAATCTGTTGTAACATATGTTGTCGAAATACAGTTTGTAACAGTTATTACGTCTCTCTGCCCTCCGTATCAAAAGCCCATATGAGAAATTTCTTTAGAATTTGGGGCCAGGATCAGTTTGGTCTCACTGAAGCTACTGGTATGCTGTTTTATTCCAAGTGGGAGATTCTCTAACTTCCAATATCACTCTGATTGTCAGGAAAGTCAGAGTCATATCTGAATTTCCATCCCTTCAGTTCTGTCAACCATATAATTAGCAGTTTGACGTCCTTCTTTCAGTTACTTTCAATTATCATTTTACTTGCCTTATTATTAAGCCACTTCAAAGATTAAAAGTTTTTAAATTAATTAAAAGATATATATAAATAAGTATGGATAATTTCTTTCTAAAATATTTTTCCTAGTTTGACTTTTCTGACATTGAAACCCTTATCAAGTTACCTTGTTTTTAGATGCTATGTATGGTAATATATCTCTTTGTTCTCTGAAGCTAGATTCTATGTTTTCAGGTATAAATGATAAGAAAAAGTTAATGAAATACATTTCTTTTTTTCCTTTAAAACATCATTTCCACAGTGTTCTCAAGAGCAAGGTCTTCCAGGCCTTTTTGACCTGGGACTTGCCCTTTTGACCTAGAGATATCTACTGTGATTTCTGCTGTCTCAGTTCAGTTGCAGGTAGACTGCTTGGGAGGAGGAAAACATTTCTGTTTAGAGACTAATATTAGAATGAGAAAAGGTTATAAGAAAGGGCGTCCTGTCTTTGCTATTGAGATAAAAATATGGACATGACTTGAGTCATTTACAATCAGGTTATTCTCTGTTCTCTATCATAGAAGCATTTCACAATAGAAATTGAACTCTTGAGTAGCTAGCTGATGTAAATGTCTTAGTACTATTTTTCTTTCAAGACATAATTTTTCTAAATTAAAATAAATGATCTGTTGGAAGTATAATAGTTTGACAGTCCTGCTACCTTTTAAAACCATTTTCCCTCGTGTTTTTTTTTTTTTGTTTGTTTTGTTTTGTTTGTTTTTTAATAGAGGATGGAGATCTTTTTATGTGGGGAGACAATTCTGAAGGTCAAATTGGTTTAAGAAATATAACTAATGTGTGTGTTCCTCATCAAGTGACCATTGGGAAACCTATCTCCTGGATCTCTTGTGGATATTACCATTCAGCTTTTGTAACAAGTAAGACACAACATTTTTGATTCATCATGTTATTGCCCATTTCCAAGTTACTACTAAATTAATAATAAAATGATATATTCTTCAGTTCTGTAGAAATAATACCATTGGTTGTTCATGTAATGAAATGACTTTGGCGTGTTTTAGATAACAGTATTTCTATAATGAGAGTTTGTAATTTTAAACTCTCTTACACGTTAACTTTTTAAGTGAATATCAGGTCTTAGAAAAACAAAATTGATATGTCAGAAACCTTTCTAAATGTTGGTTCTCAAACTTCTTAGACCCTTTTGGCATTAAAAACAAGACTTATGGGCCACTTTTCTTTGGACCCACTTACCTCTATACTTTGACCTATTCTACTCTTATTGTTCTGATTAATTTCTTTTATTGCTTCAATGAATGAGTCATAGACTTTCATTGTGGGAGCTGGGATGAAGACTAAATATAAAAGGAAGAGAGCTCAGTATGGAATGTGATTTCCTTTAATGGGACTTTTCTCAGTGTCTCCAGTATCTCCTTTTCTTGAGCCCGCTGGCAATCTTTTCTACCTTAGTTAAAATATTTGAAATGTTGGACTATTATAGTCTACATCTACACTAGTAATAATAGGAGACGTATGATCATGACTTTCCATTGAATTGATGGTTTTTCTAACAGTAAAAACGCCTAGAGAAAATAGTTTTGTGGACCCTCTTAGACATCTCTTTACATCTTTATTTTATATGTTTACTCTTTATTTCATGCACCACAGATTCAGGTTTAGAAAGTTCTGATTGACCCATCCCAGTGCCCCCCAAAATTACCGGTGAATTGGTAGCAGCACGATATTGAGAGGGCAAACCTGACTTTGTCAGTATTGTCTTGAACAAACTTATAATCAAATAATATTGTTGAATGAGGGAGTGAGTTAATTAATGATCAATTGATTGTATTTTTGGGGCAACCACCTACCAACTTATTGGCAACTTTAGGGCTCTGGAGGTTGTTATAGTCTGTATTCACTTTCTTCATGGAACAAAAAATGAGAAAAAGACACAAATGGAAAAATAACCAAACCAGCCAAACAAACAAAAATCCCAAGCAAAAGCCTTGTCTTATATTTGGGCTTTAAGAAAACTGCCAGAATCAATTTTATTAATAAACTGTGATTTAGCCATTAGGGGAACAAGTGAAATTGTTCATCTTAACCAACAGATGTTACATTGAGCTCTTTTGGTTTTGTTTTTATGTTTTTGTTTTTTTTTAAACTGCTTTATTGAGATAATCTTCACATACCATACAATAATACCATATAATTCCTTTTTTTATTTTTATTTTTTTACTTTGCTGAAATTCAAATTTAATTAAATTAATTAATTTTTTTCTCTAATTCCATTACCGGGCTGGATGACTAGGTCAGGTACAATTCTCATTTAAAGTGTACCATTGAATTCTTATTAGTATACTCACAGGCTTGTACATACAGTGAACTTTTATGCTTAGCATTTTTCTGGGGATTTATTTACATCAGCTGATATGAACTGTCAGTAATTTTCATACTAGCCATTATTTTATGACTTTAGTTATTCAAAGCGACTTTTTACAAATCATGGAAATAACTTAGGCATAAGGGATTTAAATATTTCATGATAGGTAAAAAAAAATTATATAGAGAAGGACTGTTGTTATCTTTTTTTCTTTGTATGTCAAGTTTGGAGACCAAAAAGTGCAGTTTAATTCTTAATAAAAATGCAGAACACTTGTATTACAGAGATAGTCATAGTTACGACTTTCTATAGATTTTTTAACTTACTAGTATGTTTGAATGCTCATGTTTATGTTCTAATTTATATTCTAAATTCATTTTCTAAATTATATAAAATATTTAATTTTCATATATTTCAAATAAAATATATGGAGTTTTCAGGTGTTGCTCCTGATTTCTGTCTTTTCATCTGACATGTTAATGGTTGAGGCTGAGTATTTCAACCAGTGATTCATATATTAACAGTGAATTAGATGCAGTACAACAAGGGATATAGGTAAATGAATTGGGGTTGTGGGAACTGGGTGCAGGTATGTGTGGAGCAGTCTTCAGAGTCTGGGGTGCCTAAGGTCAGAATCCTGGGGAAGGTAGATATCATTCAGGTAGGTAGTTTGAAGAATCCAGATTTTACAAATGCTAATAGGCTCAAGTGAAGTAAAAATAAATTAGATGAAATGACCTATTTCTTAATTCATGATAATTTTTAAAAAAATTTTTGTATGTAAATTAGAAAAATAATTTGGAATTAAATGGAACATTTTATATGGGTTAAAAGCACTTACCTTTCCCTTTAAGAGAGGTCCCACTGATGGCTACAGGAAATATCTTTTCTGACCCTTTATAGGTAAACATTTTACTTTAAAAAGTTGACACTGTGAAAAACCATTCAGCAGCTTACCATGTAAAAGTCATTTTAAAGGGTGTTTCTTATAATACCAAGTTGATTAAGACATAGTAACTACCCTCCAGTAATTTACAGTCTACTAACTACAGGATATATAAAGTTTTGCCATCTACAAAGCATTTTCAGGTACAAATCCATTTCATTTAATCTCACAGCATCTCTGTGAGAGAGGTGGAGGTGTCTCTGATTCCATATTTGGAGGCAGGTTTAGAACTCAGCTTTAAACCAGAACTCAAACCCCAATCTTCTGACTCTAAAGGCCCAAATGACTTCTATTGGCACACAGTTTCTTTAAATGCACATGAGGAGGAGGAGGAGGATGTGGTAGCAACTAACAATGACTGGGCACTGACAGTGTATCCTAAGTTTGTTTGAATACATTAATTCATTTATTCCTATGAAACAACATCCCTATGGCATAGGCACTTTTATCCCTATGGCATAGGCACAGCAATTGAGTAACTTGCTCAATGTGACTCAGTGAGTAAGTGGCAGAACCCAGATGCAAACAAGGCAGTCTGGCTCTGTAACCCATGCTTTCAACCACTGTGCTATGCCAATAACTGTAATATACAGTGGACAATGATGGGTAACACAGGACATTTGATAGCAGAGTCTTATGTGAGGTCAAAGAAGAGAAAAGATTATTTCTTGTTGGGAGCATCAAGACCCGTTTCAGAGAAAGGGTGGTATTTGAGATTAGCCACGAAGAATGGAAAAAGACTCTGAGAGATAAAGGTGAGGGGAAGACAATCCAGGCAGAGATTAAAGCATGTGCAGAAATTTAGAGGTAGAAACATAAATCATGTGTTTGGAGATTACTGCATAGGTTAAGACAAGGTTTCCTACTAAGAGAACATGCATCCTAAAGGAGTCTGAACTCCTGAAATGATATGCTAAGTTTTGTATGTGCATTTCTTTATAGAATTGTCATCAAATTCTCAAGGGAAGGTATGACTCAAAAGAGCCACTAGCATAGGGAGTAGATGGTACCATGACTCCTGTAGGAGTCTGAGGCTCTAATGTGGAAGGTCTTTTATAACAGTCTGCAGAGTTTATACCTGACAAATATTCTTTTTGAATTTAGAAGTATCATCATAAATTGACCCTTGTTTTGGGAAGATAAACCTAATATTGTATAGGTATCTTAGAGAGACTAGAGGAGGGGAAGCCATTTAGAAAACTATTGGTCTAGGTGAAAATTCATGTTAAGGTATGAGAGGTAGCAGGAATTGATAGACAGAGGTCGAGAGAGACTCATCAGGACTTAGTAACCAATTTCATATGAGAGACATGAGGCATGGGAAAAAGGGGAAGGGTGCAAACTTACTGAGCACCTCTTCTATGGCAGTGTTTGCTGAATACTTGCTAGAACACTTGGTCCAGAAAACTTCATTTTCTGTGCAGATCCAGAAAATCAGTATAGCTGTGTTTGTAGTATTTGACCAAGTTTTCAGTGGTGTATACCATGTGCATCAGATGTCCCACAACTTCCCTAAATTCTGTGATTTGCTAGTAGTACTCAAGCTTCAATAGCAGGTTATACTCATGGGTAAGATTTATTATAGCAAAAGGTACAGAGGTAGAAAAAGGAAAAAAAAAAACAGGAAAAAGATACGGATCTGCAGTGGAATCCAGAGAGGTCCAGCTTAGGCTTTTTAGTCCTTCCTCTTCCAAGGCCATGCAGGACATACTTTCTTTTTGGCAGCTAACTACAGGGACATGAGTGGAATGTCTCTGCCCAGGGAAACCCATTCTTGCATCAGGATCTGAGGCTTTTATTGGGGGGGGGGCTGGTCATGTAGGCACCTCCAGCTAGCAACCGGCCACAACAGCTGAAACTTAGGACCCTCAATAATGAAGCTAAGTGTACACCATCAGTGTTGATATTTGTGTGAAGCAACTCTAAGAGGCTAATCTGGCATAAATTTTTGCTCTGGGGTATATAACATAATCATCAATCATGAACATAAAAACACTCCAAGGGCCACCTTCCAAGGGGTTGGCCAAGAATCAATTATGGCTCTCTTACAGACATGTAAAGAATAAGTAAGAAGACTGGCTGTCTTATCTCTTTCCTCACACCAATGGTGATGTGTTCTGTGTCATTCTTTAGATTAAATTATATATTTACAAAGGTTTTTAAAGTCTTGCTTTATTCCTGCTCAGTTAATTTCATATCTGTAAGAAAGTTCCTGCTTTCAAGAAGCTCACAGTCATAATATAGTGTGGTAAGTGTAATAAAGAAGCAAACCAATAGTGTTAGTATGGACAAGGCAGTGATTAAGTGTCAGGAACTCCTTGGTAAGAGAGTCTTTCTGGAGGAAGTGCCATCTACCTGAGTAAAATCTACTTTCTTAAGATTCACTCAGCATTTTTACTTCACATATAAGTGAGTTTTTTAAAACAAGTTTCATAAAAACAGTTATTCATTCATTTATTCAACAAATATTCATTGAATTCTTATAGTAGACAACCTGCTAGGTTTGGGGGATCCTGTAGTGAGCAAGACAAAATTTGTGTTCTTATGGGAGCCTAATATCTAGTCATTTTGCTTTATTAAAAGTAAATAGAAGACACATGATAGTCTTCACTATGTTTTGTGAAAGAGATAAAATGATTTTCTAGTTGTTTATTAGTAGTAATAGTCATGAATTTTCACAAGAAATTACTGGATTAATATAATCAAGGGAAAAAAAATCTAGCCTTATTTTCTTATAAGACAGTAAAAATATCTCAAGAAAGATCAAATTTACTAAGTTGTCATTGTCTAAATTTTTTATTGAACATGAGAACATGTTCAAAAAAGTACAGTCTTTTGTTCAGATTTATGGCATCATTGATCACTATACTTTTCCTTCAACAGTGGATGGTGAACTGTATACGTTTGGAGAACATGAGTGTGGGAAGTTAGGTCTTCCCGATCAGCTGCTTTTTAATCACAGAACACCTCAGCCAGTGCCTGGAATTCCCGAGAAGGTGATCCAAGTTGCTTGTGGTGGAGGGCACACTGTGGCTCTCACAGGTATGTGTGGAGCCTGTGCTCCATTCGCTGCTTTCTGTGGTAGCTAATGAAATATTTTTCATGTTCTTTTTTGTTATTGTGGTAAGTACACTTAACATGAGATCTACCCTCTTAGCAGATTTTTTAGTGTATGCTACTGTATTGTTATATATAGACATAATGTTGTACAGAATATCTCTAAAACTTATCTTACATAACTGAAGCTTTATGCCTGTCATACAGCAACTCCCCCCCTTTTCCCTCCACCTACCAGCCCCTGGCAACCACCATTCTATTCTAAGCTTCTGTAAATTAGACTCTTAGATACCTTATGTAAGTTGGCCTTGCATCTCTTTCCATTAATATCCCCCCTTTTATTCCTATCGTTAATACACATTTTGGGCCTATGGAAGAATTTTTTAAGTAAAAAAAAATGAATCCTGTTGAATTGTTTCTGCTAACACAATTGACATTTTCATGATCTTAACACCTTTCATGGCAGTGTTTTTAGCTTATTTTCAAGGACAGACTTTTCCTCATGAATATGTATTTCATATTTATCTAAAGTTGACATTATTTTTCCTGAAATACCTTCTTTTGGAGAAGCTTTCTGTTCATGCTGTTTCTACATGTCATTGGTAATTTTTTCTTTATGATATTCACAATGTATAACTTGGGGATTTCTTTCTGATTTTATGTTCTGTTATAGTAATTTATTAAGAAGTGGTAAGGTTTTAAATTACAGTTAATAAAAGAAAGTTAGAACCTTAATAGTAATATCACTTTTGGATTCTGGATTTCATATTTGGTATGACATGTCATTTCTCAATAGGTAATATACTCACTTCTTGATAATATGCTTACTAAATTGATGCTCCCAAATTTGTTCAGTGTTAAATTTATTTTGGATGCGTAGTGTAGAGGTAATGCAATTAGGTAGTGAATTATTATTATGATTTTTTTTTGGTCAAAAAGAAATTCAGTTTCTGAAGTTACCATGTAATTGTCAGTAACCCAAAGTTAGAAGTATTCTAGACCGATTTTGAATAATACCCAATTTTCAGATGATAATGCCTAACGTTGCAAGGTGAACAAGCAACGTTTTATCTTTAGATTTTCTTAGCTTATATTGCTGTTCCTTGACTTCCTGTTCTAGTCCCAGTCATGCTTATTAAGCTTTGGTTTCCCAAAATTATAATTTCCAGATGGAATCTTTTTTTAAGTTAGAAATAATTTTTTTCAAAGCCTCCACTCTAAATTTGGAAACAATTCTGAGGTTTAAGATTATTTTGATTTTCTGCTAATAAAATGAATTTTCATACAATTTAAAAAAGATTTATTCTAGGAACTAAACTTTGAAATTCTGAAAATTCATTCTATAGGGAGAAATGCAACTTATTCTTTATGTATTATGTACTTCCTGTAGTTTATACAATGAGTATAGAAAGAATTAATTTACTAGGTGATTCAAGGTTATTCTGAAGGAATATTGGTTATACAATAATAATGTCATTCAACATGCATTGTAAAATATTTTTATATAAAGTGAGCAACAAGACAATCCATGGTGTTTTTAATTATACTTAAAATAAAAAATGCTCCTGTGCAATATTTTCTTGCAGTATTAAACACATTTAGCTTTCTGTGGACTTTGTTTTGAGGTTAAAAATCATGTTTTCAGAAATTGATTTTTTTCAGATTTTTGCAGACTTTAGAATCTCACAGACCAGTAAATTTGTTTTAAAAAATTATCAGATGTATCTGTTTCATAGTCCTGGAGCAGTTACTGTCTGCCGCTAAGGTTTCTACTATCGATGCAAGAAAAAACTGTCCTTGTGCTTCTGTCTGCCTGATTCTGGCAGCCAAAACTGAATGGAGGAATAGCAGAGAAAAACTTTATATTACATGGAAAAACATGGAGAGAGAATTTTTTGCAATTCATAAATAACTATGTAAACAGTGAAAAGCTTATTTTACTCCAAAGTAGAATCTAAAATTTGAGTTTACAAAAAATTATGAACCAACAGATGGTTGCCAACTTCTGATTTGCATTTGCCTAAATATGAGCATTGAAAAAAGTGACTTCTCAGCATTATATCATAAAATAAGGGACAGTTTCAAAACAAAAAATAAAAATCTCTTAATTGTACAATAAAGGACACCTCCTTAAATTGTATAAATTTTTCTGCATGTAAAATTCACCTCTTGTCTATTTTTCACATTTCTCCACTGACATATGAGATCTTTATTATGAGCCAGCTGTGGTGAGGAGCCTATATTCTGGAACACAGTGTAGACAGAAATATTAAATATTTAGTCCTAACTGATGAAGAAATGGACCTGAAGAGTGTATTGATTATCAGTTTGACTAAGTACTAAATTGGATAGCTAAGAAAGGTAGAGAATACTTTATGAGACCTTAAGGAAAGAAAGGTCTAGATCATGTGTTCTAGATCATTTTCTTTGCTAAAGGAAAGGACTTGGATTGGATGGTTCTATGGGGGCTCTCCCCAACTTTGTTTTTCCATGTGTCTATATCTCTGATCTTAAAATCTATTTGGGTACCATTCATTGAACTATTTTAAAAATAATTTTAATGAGTTCATTGCTGGTGAATTTATTTAAAACATAATGTTGGCACATGACCATGTTTGGTTAGAATATACAACTACTGGTTGTAGTTATGGCATGATTATAGTTTCTCCTTAGAATTGGGGAAACAATGCACTGCTGTGGAGAAAGTGTCAGACTGGAACTTGGGACACACTAAGGGAGGGAGAATGATAGATGTTGTCTTGAATGTTATCCACAGCTGTTACCAAAAGACAGGAAAGGCCAGTTATAAGACTTGGGTCCACAGTGCAGTCTGGGTCCCAAGGCAAGTGAAAATTTATCTTAACTTCTCCAGATTAAATTTAGATCTCTTCAGGGCAACAAATTATTAGTCCTGAAATCAAATGTGTTCTGTGAAATTGCAGTAATATTGATCTGAAGCTAGCTAATCAAGTTTGTTTTTCTAATGTAATATTATTAACATTAAATAACATTGATATGATAAGGTCAAAAGTTATATTAGTTGTTATATGTAATATCCTTAGATAAAAGAATCTTATGTCATTAAAAAAAACCCCAAAAACCTGCTGTTATCACTAATCGTCCAAGCACCTGAAAGTGAACCTAACAGGATAACAAATAAAATTCTTATAATTCAGCCTCCCTAAACAGCCTCATTTTACAGTCTATTATCAGACAGCCCAAGAAACAGAATAATTGCTGGTTTGCTAGAGATGGATAATTGTTTTAATTTACCCACCATTCTACTATTAAACTGAGCATTTAGAACAGGAAATATGCCATGCGATTATTAATTAAACTAAGAGGTGGTATTTTTTATATTGAAATAAAGATCTGTTTTACCATTCATTGCCTCAGTTTGGCTTTATATCTTTGATATAGCATACTTTCTTAAAGGAAGTAATATTTTTATGTCTTGTTTATGAAGCATTCTTATTAGACAGAAAAAAACGTAAAACTACATGACAATAGACAGTTATGTGTTCATCAGTACCCCCCGTTGTCAGAATAGGATGAGTCGATTACATACTTCTTAGAAAAATGTTCTTTACAGCTGAGTGCCCTATTATGTTTTCAAATCTGCCTGAATGCTTTCTCATTTAATCTTGACTGCAGCTCTACTAGATAGGGATTATAACATCAGAGAATCTAAGTAACTTACCTACTTGCCACAGCTAATAATAATAGTAATTCCTCCTGTAGCAGGAGAGAGTCAATGTACTGAACTAAGAAGTCACAAATGTATTTAACACTGTGCTTCCTAATGCAGAGGCCAGGGAGATTGTGTGTCTAGAAAGACCTTTTCATCACTCATTTATCCTGCTTTTGTGCTTTTTCATTTCTAGAAAGTATATGAGCTAATATTTACAGAGTTATTGAAGGTCCTTTGGAATCACTTCAAAAATATTAATAGAGAGGAAAGCTTTTCTCCCTCCTTTCATTATGATTACATTTCCTAGGAAAAGAGCTTTACTTGTGAATAAATCTAGCATATCTATTATAAGTTTTAATTCTCATGCAAATTCTCCTCTGAAATTGTTTTATAAAGTAGATTATTAAACTACCTTTAAAAGTAAATTTTTCTGTAGGAGACTTTTTTTATTTGAGGCTGTGAAAGGAATTAACTTAATGATAATTGATGCTTTTTGAGCTGAGGTGGTAATTATAGGGTCATTTCAGATAGTTCCCCATGTTATGTATCTTGTATCATACCTGTTGCTTACTTACAGCAATTCGTTTTATGGTTATGTGTAAAATATAAAATCAGACCCATGACATAATCTTTACAATTGTGTGCTTTTTCATTTTTCTTTTCCTTCATCATTGAAAAGTGTATACTTCAGTATTAAGTATTCTTACATGGGTATTTTTTTCAGAGGCACTTAACCTTCATTATACAAAATTCAGTGTTATTTTTCTGTATATGATGGTAACAGTATCTGCTTCCATGCAATCCTTTTCTTTTATTTGCCCCTTTCCTTTCAGAGAAAGCTGTTTATGCCTTTGGGCTGGGACAGTTTGGTCAACTGGGTCTTGGTACTTTTCTTTTTGAAAGTTCCGAACCCAGAGTCATTGAGCATATTAAGAATCACAAAATAAGTTATATTTCCTGTGGAGAAAATCACACATCTTTGATAACAGGTATGGATTAGAATTTCTGTTATATATTTATAAAGCTGGGTATATTTTATTATAAAATAATATATGGAATGAATGTATCTAACTTAAGTAAAAAAATTAATGACTGAGAAAAGTGGAATTCTTTTTTTAATATTTCAAAATAAACTCCTTTTTATTATTTTAATTCAATTTAAAATAAATATATATTATCCAAAGATTTAGAACCTCAACATAGGCCAGTCGTATCAGAAGTAAGACCATAGTATTATACTTGGCAAAAAGCTGGAATCTTTTGGAAATTGTATCAGTTTGAAGGCTCTAAACTCTGCTCAGGCCAGAGGGAAAAATCCCATAAGAAGGGACTTATTTTGTAACATTCTTCTTGCTCAATCTGACAGAGCTACATTCAAGCTGAGTAAATTCTTATGATGTTTTTGCCACCAGGAGGCGTTTTCAGGAATGACTTCTTCCTTTTCTTTCCCCAGAGGACACCTCAAAGACCACTAAGTAAATACCTTCTTCCAGTCAGTGGTTTATTCTTTATCTAGGGAGATGTTGCATTGGGCCTACATCTCACCCTCAAAAACTAGGTGCTGTTAATAATGTAGGACTCAAAGATTCTCCTCTAAAATGATTCAGTCACTAACCTATAGGCAATCACTATACTCCACAATATTAAATACTTTGTAACAAAAGGGCCTGTAATTTCACTATTTCTATCTGAAAATGAAGTAAAGCATCAAAAAGTCAAAAATCATCCAGTATATTGAACTAATCAAGATACTGGTATTCCTACTTTTTTTTCTTCTTTCTGAAAAAGCTACTGCTATGATGGAGCTCATCTAGTGGTGTCTTGTTAGGGAAACTAGGAATCAGCAAATGCAAGGTACTACTGCACACTGTTCCTTCTTCCCCAAAGAATCTTTCAGAGAAGGCAACCTGCCCATTATCAAATATCAATGTTCTTGTTAATGTAGCATGAAATAGCATTGTTTAGAATGTAAAGTATTATTCATTCATTGTCCTGTAAGAGTTGTTGATACTTATCCCTTACTGTCGAGTTCTAATCTCAGTTTCTCTGTCCTTACTGCCATTTTACATCAGCTCTAAATCAGCGTTGATGGTAAATATACACTGTTTTTATGTGTCATCTTACATATAATTAGATTATTTAGTTAAGTTTTCATAGTACCTTTTTTCTTGATGAAAAGAGTTGTAGCACAAATAATTAAACACTAACTTTGTTTGCTTTTTTGCTCATCTATCCTCCCCAAGGGACAAGTGTTATGAATTTTTTTCCCTCTGGGCCTCAATGAGAAAGTGTAGTGAGTTATCTGTAAGTTCTTAACCATTTTCCCATTGTCTTAGTCCATTTTGTGCTGCAATAACAGAATATCACAGACTGGGTAATTTATAAAGAACAGAGATTTATTTCTAATAGTCCTAGAACCTGGGAAGTCCAAGATCAAGGGGCTATGTCTGGCGAGGGCCTTCTTGTTGTGTCATGACATGATGGAAGGCATCATATGGTGAGAGAGAACAAGAGAGAGAGCAAGAGATCGAACTTGCAGCTTCAAGCCCTTTTATAATTAGCATTAATCCATTCGTGACGGGGGAGCCCTCATGACCTAAACACCTCCCATTAGGCCCTACCTCTCAACACTCTTGCATTGGGGATTGCGTTTTCAACACATGCTTTTCCGGGGACACTTTCAAACCATAGCACCCATTATAGTCAGTGACTCATATTTTGAAAGTGCAATCAGGCAGCTCGGATCAGGTTTTATTTTGAGGGGCAAAAGACAATCAAATTTTAAAAAATCATACCTTAAAAAGCATTTTGGATGAAGAACTCAAAATCAGAAGGAGGAGGGAGGGAGAAAGGTGATAAAGGAGTATATATAAAGAAAGGAAATAAATGCCTAATAGAATTATAAGAGTCTGAAGAGTCTAAACACTGGTTATCACTTATTTTAGGGAATCTATTTATTTTTGTAAATTAATTTTTGAACTTGCCATTTTACTGAATTGTTATTATTTGTAATCATTTTTCAGTCAGTTATCTTGGATTTCCTTAGTATGTAATCACTTTGCCATCTTAAACCAAAAGTCCCCATATGTGATCCAGTTATTTCCCAGCTTAAGACCATTCATTTAGCTTCTTATTGCCCTTATGATCGAGTTCAAAAATTCTTATTCTGAACAAATAGGACCATCTGTGGTGTGTTTCCTTCTTACCTCTTCTGACTCATCTCATACCACTCTCCCCTTTGTGCTCCTGAGGTATTGGTTGCTTTTCAGCTTCTTGCCTAAGCCATGTTTTCTCTTGATTCAGAGCCTTTCTGTGCACTGCTGACTCTGCCTGGAGGGTTCTTTGCTCTCTTCTTCTTGCAGCTAAATCCTACTTATCCTTTAGGTTTCAGTTTGAAAGACTTCCCTATTCCCCAGACTAGAGGGAGAGTCCCCTTCTCTGCACCTATATCGGCATCCATTACTTCTGTTTCTGGGGCACTTTACCCCACTTAAGATGGAAGGTGTGAAGGGGAAGGGCTTGTGAAGAGGAGTGAAGGCTCAGAATAGTTGCTATGGCAGTGGGCCAAAGGGTTAACTGGAGAGAAGCAACAAGATTACTCATCATCATCAAGGGCCCAGCTATAGAGGGGACCCAGAGATTGATATAGGAACTAGTCAGCATGGTTAGCTTATGGCATTTCCTTTGTCAGTGTTTTGTAGTCCAGGAGCCAAATTAGTAAAAGAGACAGACAGTTGGATTGATCTAAGCCAGTAGTTTTCCACTAGTGATGACTGTGTTCCCCCAGGGGACACATGACAATGTCTGGAGACATTTTTGGTTGTTACAACTGCAGAGGGGGGTTGTTCTAAAGGCATTTAGTGGGTAGAGGCCAGGATGCTGCTAAACATCATACAATGCATAGGAAAGACTCACACAATCAGGAATTATCAGGCCCAAATGTCAGTAACGTCAGAGTTGAGAAACTATCAATGACCTCAGGAAAAAAGAGAATAAATTGTACTGGGATGTAAGGGGTTAGAATACAAGTATCTCCTTCCCCTTGAGAATATGGTGTGATCCCAAGATCTTATGCCGTATTGCTGCTGCTCCACACAGTGCCTTGCATGATGGGGCTTCAGCTTCACAAACCACCAAAGCTTAATGATTTACTCTCAGAATATCTGTTACTTAATGTTACATGTTGGACCACGGACCACAGGAAGAATTTGGGGGGGGGGGGATTTTTATAATAGCAGTATAAGTTAATATCTTTGTCTATTTATAAATAGGTCCATACAAGTAACACTTTGATAATTTTCTTACATGATAATTTTCTTTATTTTCTTACATTTTAGATCTAGGACTTTTGTATACTTTTGGAGATGGTCGACATGGAAAATTAGGACTTGGACTGGAAAATTTTACAAATCAGTTCATTCCCACTTTATGCTCTAAGTTTTTGAGATTTGTAGTTCAATTGGTAAGTGCATTGCATTTCCCTGTTTATATTCTCACGTTCCTATATTTGAGTCTCAGTATTTCATGAGAATATAAGTACTTCTATGTTTGTATGAAAGAATATCATAATAAATATACTCGTTTCCTAAAAGCCAAATATTGGACATTAAGCCATTCTGAAAATCTTTCTCTTTCCTAATTTCCTTCCCTTAACATCTTCCTTTTTGCCCAAATTTTGACTCTTTTGTTTTGTTCTCATATGTCTCTTTAAAGCCAGAACTGTACCACATGCCTGTAAGCTTTGCATCTCGTCGTGTAGCACCGACCAGAGTACCTTGCTCACTGTAGTCTTCAGTAAATATTTATGAAATTAAATGTTACTGAGACTCTCAAGTCCTACACAAGAGAAATCTGATAATAATCGAAGAGTTTTGAAAATATGTTTTATTGGCTAAATGTCATTAGTTTGAGAATGTATTGTTTCAGTGTTATATCACCATCAGGCATCATATCTCTATTGTTTCTAATACTTTTGCCAGCTAAGAACTATAGGCTTTTGAAAATTCGGTTTATTTGGTGATGCCAATATCATTTGAAATTTGTTCTCCAAAGGCTCAGTGTCTGATACTGTGGAACATTTCTGTTCATTGATTTGACAACCGTTAATGAAAACCCGCTATGTGCAAGAAACTATTCTAAGTATTAGGAATACAAAGTATACAATGGTAAACAAAATGACCAAGTCCTCATTTGTGGAGCTTACAGTCTTATGGGGACGATGATTTTAAAAAGTGATATACAAACATATATAAATTTGAAATTTGGCATTATTATGAAGGAAAGCTGTAGAATATGCTATTTTACCACCATGTAGAACACTATAAAGTAGCTAGGATCTGAGTATTGAAAATATGGCACTATGGGTTTTCGGGTTTTTTTAGCATTTTCTTGAAAATCATGTCTCAAAATTCTTTGAATGCTAACTTTTTTTATTATTTCATCATCATGCATGTTTGCGTTTTCCTCTAAGGACTTTCAAACATTAAATTTTGAAAACGTTCATGTAAGAAAAAGGCTTGGAGCCATAATTATCCCAAGAGACTGAGCTATTCTTGAGTCATGTTTTTTTTTCCCAGTAGAAATTCTCTAATTTTTTAAAGTTTTTAATGTCACTCCCAGATTAAAATATAATATTTTCTAACTGTAAGGAGATATGTAATGTGCCAAGTACTTTTTTCTCTATATTATATTAACTTGAAAGTAAAATGGTGGATTAAACTTTTTCAAATTTTCAATAGTAGTGTTTAAAGAATATATATTGTTTTTCATACATTATATTTTGGAATACGTATGTTATATAGTAATACACATATTGTTTGTGTGTCTCTCTCTATATATGTGTATATAAAAAGAGAGAGAGTCAGTCAGTCTAGGAAGTCACTACTGAGTAAATGTCTGATAGCTGATAACTGTTAAAAACCCATTTGTGTTTGAAGCCAATGTTGATTAATTTTTCTGTGCATTTATGCTCAGGTTGCTTGTGGTGGTTGTCACATGCTAGTTTTTGCCACTCCACGACTTTGTGTGGTAGAAGAATTCAGATTAGATGAAATGAATGATTCTTACTTGTCTACAGAGACTTCTCTGCCCATCGACAATCTGACCTCAGGAAACATACTGCACAGAACTCTATCAGCACGTGCACGGCGAAGAGAGAGGGTACAGTCATGGCCTGTTCTACATAATAGTATTATCTAGTACTGTAAAGAAAACTCAAAAGAAAAAAATCCATTTTCTTTTTAAGTCAAAGAAGAATCTTCTCAGATAAATTTGCTAAATAAAATGATTAGAGTTTAGGAATTATGAACTTTTAAAGTGAATTCAGAGTTGAGCTATTAAAGACACAAATTAAAACATTTAAATTATCATAGATAACCTTTATTTATAGACAGTGATACTATACAAAGCATCCTTCTATAGGCCTATTTTATCACCTCAGATTGAATACTCAATTATTTTTTCAACTGCATATGGATTGACTTCTACTTTAACTTATTATATGATTTTTTTATTGTAGTAAGAACACGTAACATGAGATCTACCCACTTCACAGATTTTTATTTTATAATACAGTATTGTTAACTATAGATACAATGTTATATTGTACAGCAGATCTCTAGAACTTAATCATCTTGTGTAATGCTACATTCTTTTATCTTTTAGTTATACCTCATGAGCAGTGGAAGGTTGTACACTATAAACAATGAAATGTGGAAAACAAAAAAATACTTTAGTTTGAGAGGGAATATTCTCTCTCAATTAAATTTATAGATTCTCTTTCTGTGCTCTAAAATTATTGTTTCAATTACAGGTTTTTTTTGAAAAAAGGAAAATGCCAAAATAATTTTTAAAGGATACATTCCTTTTTTGAAAACTAACTTCCAAAACATATTTCTTTTGAAGTTAAATGGTTAAGTCTGGCTTTTAATTATGAAAAAGTTTATACAGGAATGTTGAGAACTATCCCATTAGTGTTTTGTAGTTGCTATTTATTTATATCTCATGAGTAATGTTAAATATGTAACATCATTTAACAGTTTATGTAACCTGCTTTATTTTAAAGGAGAAATCCCCAGATTCTATTCGAATGACACAAACACTACCTCCAGTAGAAGGGACTGGTTTTCCCCCCAGTTCAGTCCCTTTCTGTTTGTCTACAAGTAAGCTGCCGGAGAAAACCATATGTGAAAAGGAGGACCCCGTGCAGTCAATGGAACCAGGTGACATTTGCTACTCTGCCTGCTCTCAGGAGAAATGTGCCTTTTATTCCTGTTGTTTTCATGTTTATCTTAAGATGTTTTCTCCAACTAATTAAATTGTTCTCTCACTGGTTAGAGCCAGATAGCTCTCATTTGAACTCAAATCCAGGAATACCCTTACAAATAGAAAACACCACCCGTGTGGCCATGAGAGTGCCATGTAACCACAGCAGCATATCTTTTTTATTTTAATACATTTTTTATAGAAATATAGTTGATTGTACATATCTGTGGGGTACAGCGTTGAATATCAATAGCTGTGTACAATATGTGATGTTCAAATCAGGATAATTAGTATATTCCTCATTATACAATGTAATAGATTTTTGTGGCCCTTTACCAATTCCTCTCTTTCCCCCTCCCTCTCTTCCACCTCAGTTCTGTTCTCTTCTTTTGAAAGTTCAGCATGTTATTGTTGTTTCTTTCTTTCTTCCTCCCCCACCTCCCTCTCTCTCTCTCTCTTTCTCTCCCTCCCTCCCTCCCTCCCTCCCTCCCGCGTATAAGTGAAGACATGTGGTGTTTCTCTTTCTGTGCCTGGCTTATTTCACTTAACATAATTTTCTCTAAGTTCATACATGTTGCTGCAAATGGCAGTATTTCATTCTTTTTTATGGCAGAGTAGTGTTCCATTGTATAAATATACCACATTTTCCTTATCCAGTCATCTGATGATGGACATTTAGGTTGGTTCCAACTGTAATAAACATGGGAGTACAGGTGTCCCTTCAACATGATGATTTCCATTCCTTTAGGTATATACCCAGCAGTGGAATTGCTGGGTCATATGGCAGTTCTATCTGTAGAAACCTCCATACCATTTTCCATAATGGCTGCACCAATTTACAGTCCCACCAACAGTGTAAGAGGGTTCCCCTTTCTCTGCATCCTTGCCAGCATTTGTTATTCTCTGTCTTTTTGATAATAACCAATCTAACTGGGGTGAGATGATATCTCAGTGTGGTTTTGATTTGCATTTCCTGGATGCTGAGTTCCTTGTATATTCTGGATATTAATCCTTTGTTTAATGAATAGTTTGCAAATATTTTCTCCCATTCTTTAGGCTGTCTTTTTACTGTGTTAATTGTTTCTTTTGCTGTGCAGAAGCTTTTTAGCTTCTCAGAGGGGAACTTTTTGAATTGAATCCATTTGGGGATCTTTGAGCCTCCTGGATCTGAAGGTCCATGTCTCTCCCTGTACCTGGGAAGTTTTCCACTATTATTTCATTGAATATGTTTTCAGTGCCTTTTCCTTTTTCCTCCCCTTCTGGAACTTCCATGATTCAGATGTTTGTGAGCTTCAGGTTGTCTGCTAGCTCTCTTAGATTTTCTTCATTTTTTAAATTCTTTTTTCTTTTTTTTTTTTTGTCCACCTGGATTATTTCGAAAATACCGTCTTTGAGATCAGAAACTCTTTCTGCTGCTTGCTCTAGCTTTGTTTAAGCTCTTGGTTGTATTTTTTATTTCATTGAATGAATCCTTCAGCTCTAGGAGCTCTGCTACATTCTTTTTTAGGGCATTAATCTCTTTATACATTTCCTCCTTCAGATCCCGGGTACTTTTTCTCATTTTGCTGTGTTATTTATGAGTCTTCTTGTATCTCATTTAGTTTCCTTCATATTCTTGCTTGGAATTCCTTTTCAGTCATTTCAAGCACTTCCTGCTCTATAGGGTCTGGTATGTGAAAATTATTATATTCCTTCTGTGGTGTCATATTTTCTTGTTTTCATATTTCTAGTATTTCTACTTTGGTGTCTAGTCATCTGGTAGAACAGTTGCTTCTTCTAGTACTTTGGAGAGGGCTTTAAGGAGAGGGAGTTCCTCTTGTAGATGTGTTTTATAATGACAGTTGAGTGGGGTGTTTTAGTATTGGTTTCAGGTAGATTCAGTAGTGTAGTTTCTGTGTAGATACTTTGGCCAAATTCAGTTTTGGAATTGCTTGAGAATTCCTCTGTGGCCTAGTCCCTGGGGCACTTAGTAATTCCTTGCTGAGGTTGGTGACACTATGTTGGTTTGCCAGGATGTAGGCAAGCTCTCAAATTCTTGGGAGTAGTGCCTCGAAGCCCGGTTACTCACTCTTTGGTTATGGTGGTTGACCTTGGGAAGGCCTGTTGGCACTCTGGCAAGCAACCCCTGATCCTGCTGGGTGCACTGGGGTCTTTCTTGCAGGCAGAGGCAGGGATCTTGAGTCCTGGGATCTTGTTTCCCCCAGTTGGGAGTAATTGGGAAATTTCTTCCTTATTCTATTTTAGTATTCTTCATTTCTGTACTCTTGGGGAGTTCCACATGTGTCTCTCCCCAGATGAAGGCAGTCGCGTGGACTGTGCACATACCTCCCACCCCCAGTTGTGTTACCATGTATGACAGTGTAATTCTGCTTGTGGGTTGTGCCACTGGGTCACAGGTCTGCACTCACTCACCTCTTTCCCTAGGCTCCACTGGTGACTCTTTTTCTCTCTTTGTCGATGAGTGGTCAGTGGGCCACCTACGAGGCAGCAGTGGCTGCTGGTGTGGCAGCAAACCACTCTTGTGGCAGTAGTTGCTGTGGCAGTGTCTGTTACAGACCACTTATTCAGGACTGGTGTCTGCAGCAGTGGTAGGGAGTGCTGGTGCCATCAGTGGCAGGGCTGCCTGTTGGGGCGGGGTGCTTGTCAGGGGCTGGCGAGGCTGCTGGTCATGATAGTGCTATCAGTGGTGGAGCTGGCTGTTGGGGAGGGGCTGCTTGCCAGGGACCGGGAAGGTGGCTGGTTGCACTGGTGCCATCAGTGGTGGGGCTGGCTGCTGCCAGGGGCTGTCCAGTAGCATATCTTTATAGAGCAGTGGGTAACATACATAGTGCCTTCCTTTACTTCATCTCCTTTAAACCTTGACGCAACTCCATGAAATAATTGGTGGGTGTTACATTCTTCATTTTACAAGTGAGAAAAGCAAAGCTTGAAGAGATCAAGTGACTTATCAAAGGTCACTCAGCTTTTAAATGAAGTAGACAGGATTTGAATGCAGGTCTTATGGGCTGATGTGAAGTTCTGTATTTAAGTAGTATAGTATAGTGGTTAAGAGCATGGGGTATGGAGTTAAACTGATCTGGGGTCGGATGCCAGCTCTGATATTTACTCACTATGTGACTAACTTTGGGAAAGTTACTTCATCTCTCTAAGCCTCAGTTTTCTTGTCTTTAGCAAAGGTTTAATAATACTTCAGGGAGTAATTAGGATTAAATGAGATCAGGCATCTAAAATACTTAGCATTGAGTCCAGCATCTCTAGGAAAATTCCTTAACAAATATAGTCATGTTTATTATTGACACCTCTACTTCATTGCCTATTAGAGTTCATGTTTTAAATTGTAATCCCAGCTCTTTTGCTATTATAGACCTAAATAATTTTGTTTACAAACATTTGTATATCTTAGGAGTGTCTATATCTTACTGAAAGGCATGTGCTTGGATGGTAGGGGCAGGACAGGAAGCCAGGACTGGAGATCAAATTAAGCAGTAGGTTTGAAATTAAGAAGGTAAACCGGGGCATTAGGGATTAAGAACCATGACACAGATAATTTTTAGTATCTTTGAGATCAGGAACCTAGGCAAATGTTGAGGTAATAAAGGATCAGAATTCAAGCACGAATTGTGGGCCATGGTAATGGAATATACCTATGCCTTCACAATACCTTCATAATAACTATACCTAAGACCTTCATAATGAACTGATTTCCTGCATCTGACCCATAACTTCTGTATGTTTCCTTTTGAAATAAGAATCAGTGTCTAATGGTGCTCTTCATCCCTAGACATGGAAAAAGTAGTAGATTCTAACAAGCAATGTATACAGAAAAGAGAAGTTTATGGTTTGGGGAAAGTTGTTTCCCATTTCAAGGGATTCGAATGTGAAGATATGTATCCTTTTGTAGCTAGATAAAAAGGAAAAAGCCATCCTTTATCTTTTTGACTATTTGCTAACACTCTCTTAATAAAAAGTATTTTGAAAGTTGTATCCAACATATAATGTGACTTTTTCTCAATGATTTTCAGATTTCAGTCTTTATAATTGAGGAAATAGGGTCAGGGTAGGTCTACTAAGAAAGTGACATTTAAGCTAAAACATAAAGGATAAGAAAGAGATAGCCATACAAAGAGAGAGAATATATGCATTTCAGGCAAAGAAAATAATATAGGCAAAAGTTTGGAGGCAGTTTATAAGAAAAGGAAAGATGACCAGTGGGGCTAGAAAGTGAGGGAAAAGGTAGGACAAGATGATGTTGGAGAAAGTGAAAAATTATTCATGGTTTTATAGGCCATGAGAGGCATATTTGATTCAAATGTTTTTTGTTAAGTGCAGTAGAAAGCCATTAAAGGGTTTGAAATAGTGGACTGATATGTTCCAATCCAATTTTCATTTTAAGATGATCATTTCTACCTCCATGTGGTTTGCAAGGAGGCCAGACTGGAAGTAGGAAGAATATGTGTTGGCCTTTTGCAAGAGATGATGGCATGTGGACCAAAGTGTTTTCAGTGGAGATGGAGAAAGGGGAACAGATTTGAAATACATTTTAGACATAAAGCACACTGGACTTGCTAAACTTGTTAATGGATTACACATAGATGTGAAATAAAGGGAGGAATCAGGGATGATTCCTAAGCAAGAGGGTGATTGACAAGTCTGAGGAAGAAATTTAAGAACTGAGCCTGAGATATCTGTGAGACATCCAAGTAGAAATATCAAGCAAGCAGTTGAAAAGCAAGCCTAAATTTCACAAAAGAGCTTTGGACTAGAGATATAAATTTGGAAACTATCAGCATGGAAATTGTATTTAAAATCCATGGAAGTTGTTGAAATCACCTGTTAGAGTATACAGTCAAAACCAAAAAGTTCCCAGTATGTAGCCCTAAGAACATCTAGGAAGAGCCTCCAAAGAATCCTTCCTTATTAGCCTCATCAGCCAGTAAGGTAGAAGGAGGGAAATTAGGAGAGAATAGTGTCATGAATGCAAAGTATTGCTCAAAGGTCAAGGAAAAAGAGGTCAAAGAAGCATCCAATAAGTTTGGTGTCATGGAGATACTGGTGGCCTGGACGAGCAGTTCCAGGAGAAGATCAGGGCAGAAGCGAGTGTTAAGAGTTGATGCATAAATTGGGGAATGAGGAAGTGAAGAAGAGATAGGATGTGTAGATAATTCTTTTGTGTATTTGGTTATGAATTGTAGTGGAGAAATGGACTGGTAGCCCATGTGGGGTCAATGGGAAATATTGGGGCACATTTGGATGCTAATGGAGATTAGCCAGTAGTCCACGAGAGTTTGGTAGCACAGGAGAGAGAGGGTATAACTTGGTTACAAAGGCGCAAAGCTCTTAGAAGACAGGAGGGGCCGGCATACAGAGCAGTGTTTAGTAACAGAAAAGACACATCCTACATTTTAAGAGGAAAATGAAAACTTTGTACAAATGTAGATAATTGTTTATACTTATTGGTAAGAAGATCAAAGGGATCAAGTCTAACGACTTCTGTTTTTTCAGTCAAGTCTGAGACAAGGCCACCATCTTAAATAATCTATGTATTTTCCAAGCTTACGTTCTCTGCCCTCTTTAATCTATCCAGTGTAATACTTTCCACATTAATCTTCCTAGATGCTGTTCAATTCCGATCTGCTCCAGTGTCTTCAGAGATCCCTGATATTTATTAAAATAAGTATAAATTTCCCCATATAACACCTGCTTCTCTAGCTTCATCTCTCAATAGTCTTTTTCTTATAACCTTCATTTAGATTAGGAATCTGCAAACTGGACCATGGGCCAAATCTAGCCAGCCACTTGTTTTTGTAAATAAAATTTTATTGGAGAGGCTAGCCGGTTAGCTCAATTGGTTAGAGTACAGTGTTGATAACACCAAGGTCTAGGGTTTGGATCCCCATATTGGCCAGCCACCCAAAAAATAATAATAATTTATTGAAGCCCAGCCATACTCATTCCTTTATGTATTGTATATGGCTGCTTTCATGCTACAATGTCAGAGGTTAGTTAGGACAGAGACTGTATGGCCCACAAAACCTAAAATTTTTACTATATGGCCTTTCAGAGAAAAACTTTGCCAACCCCTGATTTTGATCAAACTGAACTATTCACAGTCTAAATTAATGGAAAGAACATGGGCTGTGGAGTCAAATGTGGTGTTGACACTGAGTACCAAAAGGGTCACCGAAGCTTAATTCCCTCGTTTGTAAAATGAGGATATAATACTTACCTCTCTTATTGTTATAGTGTTAACACAGCATATGTAAAAACATATGTTCCTGGTACATGGTAAGACTTCATACAAGCTTCTTCCCTCTGTGTCCTTCTCTTCCTACTCCTTTGTTCAGGCTACTGTTCTCCTGCTTTATTAGGAGTGGGCTTCATTTTCTTCCCCTTCTACCTCTGTCTCTACCCCTCAGAATTATATTCATCCTTCCACGCACCTCCTTAGTAAAGCCTTTCCTAATTCCCAACATTTAGATGTGATTTCTCATTCCCCTATATCATATGTTTTATGTTCCCTTCTAGATTCCCCTCTATAATTAGCAATTATTGCTTATTCCTAATGAACTTATAGTCTAGAAGGGAATATAAAACATGTGAACTTGAATTTTGTATATCAAAACATTTGTTGTACATCTTAAATATAGACAATAAAAAATAAAAGATTTAGCAATTACTTAAGTTGCTATCTCTGTATATTTCACATGGGATTAACACAAAATGATTACTTGCTCATTCAATTGAATGGATTTAAAAGGGAAAGATCAGTGTGGATTGGCATTTTTAGTGAAAACTTCATTAAGGAGCTCCCCTCAAATAAATGTACAGGTGATCAATTAGGGTATAGTGAGAAATTGAGAAAAACGTAAGATCAAATAGAGCTTATGACTTTTAATTATCTACTTTATGATGTAATAATCTTGTAGTTTTCTGTGAAAGGTTCTGGGTGCTTGTACTTGTTATCTGTTGGTACATTAAAAATGACCCTAAAACTTAGCAGGTTAAAACCACAAACATTTATTATTTCACACTGTTTCTGAGAGTCAAGATCAGGAACATTTTAGCTGGGTGGTTCTGGCTCAAGGTATTTGATGGGTTTGCGGTCACACTGTCAGATGGGGCTGCAGTTATCTAAAAACTTGGCTGGGGCTGGAGGATCTCCTTCCAGACTCATTCACAAGGCCATTGGCAGGAAGCTTCACTTCCTCAACACATAGGCTTCTCCATAGAGTTGCTCACAACACAGCTTCCCCCAGAGCAAGTGATGTGAGAGAGGGAGAGAGAGAGAGAAGGAGAGAGAGGGAGCAGGAAGAGAACATGTGTAATCAAGACAGAAGCTACAATGACATCACAGTCAAGCCTTCTTTATTTTATTAGCCATATGCATGCAGACCAACCTGGTATGACGTGCAAGGGGAACTACACAAGGGTATTAATACCAGGAGGATGTGGGTCATTGGGGCCGTTGGGACTAAGTATCATACTGCTTTATACATGGGTAATATTTATCCCAAAGGAGTAGTGTTTGCCTGTTCATATGAATGAAGCAATTGTTATCTAATCACTGTCAAAGTTCTTAAACTTTCAGAAAGAGATTTTAAAACCTGTTATCACTGTAAATGAATTCTGTTCAATTCTCCTGATATGAGGTTAAAGGACCTTTAGTAAAATTATATCTGCACTTTATATTACAGAGTAATTTCTGTTTTCTGTTCAGTTGGCTTTCACTTTTCTGTTGAACTACGGGTTTCCTTTTTCCCTTTTAATCGTTCAGATTATTTTCAATATGAAATGACCGAAGGGAGAGAGACAGAAAATTCTTCAGCAGCAGATTCAGAAAGCCTTGGAGAAACTACTGATATCTTAAATATGGTAACGATTTCCTATCTATCTAAATCTGAGTTTGAATTTTAGTTCATTGTGTGTGTGTGTGTGTGTGTGAGTATATATATATATACTTCCTATACTCTTATATGCATAAAAACCTGCTTTTTGTTGTTTCACTTTGTTATTTTTTAACCAACTTTTTTGAGGTATACTTCACGTACAATAAAATTCATTTTGTGCTTCACATCATTAGTATGGCAATTGAGAGTATATTATATTACTATCTGAACTGTTTTGTACTCACTTTATTTATATATAGATTTAGAATGTATAAATATATAGTTATATGTGTCATCTTTATTCTTTTTAGAACATAAGTTTTTTATTTATTTCAGACACATATGATGACCCTGAATTCCAATGATAAGTCACTAGAATTGTCGCCAATTCAAAAACAAAAGGTATAATATGGAGAGTTATTTTCATTATGGTGGGTAAGAACAGTTTAAAAAAAATTATTAAGGTTTCTGGAAAGAACGCAAGAAAGGTAAACATTCATTTACTTTAGAATTTAAAGGAGGAATGCAATGTCAATAACCTTCATTTTGGCTTGTTCTATTGGTATGCACTTTTTATGTAATGCAGCAAAAGTGATAGAATTTCAACACCAAAATCACTTTTCCAATTTTTGGATTGGTCTTTAATTTATCAAAGAATTGATAGCATAAAGGCAAGATTAAAGTAAACATTTGGAAATGAGAGACTGTTTATGGGTAAGAAAGAGAGACCTTTAATGAATAGCAAGAGGCAGGAATAGTCTGTGGTTTTCACAACCCTGGAGAGATAAAGGCCTTCCCTGAAATCCTTTGCTTTTCATGGTTTTAAGGACCAGTGGGATGAAAGGATGAGGGGCTTGGGTATTTGGAAAATAAATTGGAGAAATATAAATTTAGATAAGAAGGTTATAGAAAACATTTAATTTCTATTTCTAGTGTCTTTGCTGCGTTAAGTTAAAAATCTCTAAAACTGAAGCCACTAAAACACAAGAGAATCTTGCTAGATTAAAAAACTTAAAGCCAGTCCTTATTAGACTTATCTATTTTACTGAGAGACTTGGTGAATAACAGCATTTCTTTGAATATGGGAGAGCCGTTTGCCTAACACAGTTGTGGAAGCCCAATCAATGTGGACTGACTATATTTCCAAGCAGACATCATTCCTGTGTCTTTCCTTCCTCTTCTCTTAGCCTCCAGGCTCTGCCTCTTCTGGGCTGCTTTATTGTGCTATAGAAGGAAAGGCATGTACATTCAGAAATTAATTCTGGCCACTGGGCCTGTCTCTCTTAGAGAAAGAATTGTTATTTTTTAAAGAACAGGAACTAGAACAAACAGAGAAGGAAAGTACTTCCTTTTAAGCTGATATATATTTTATACTTCACATAGTCCTTTTCCAGGCCTACTTTAGTGAATAAAAAAAAAGTCTATACTATTTCTATATATTAGCTTATTAATTTTTAACTTGCCCTTTTTCAGTAATTTCTTTGCCAAAAAATGAACCTCATTCTAGGTCTAACACTCATCACAATTTATAAAATTTGATTTAGTGAGGTTTTACCATCCAGAGACCCCAGTTCATCAGATACTTGAATTCATTAGCTTATAGAATTTAGGTCAACAGTTGGGTTTTGCCTTATTTTGTCCAGCAGGAAATTAATTTCATATTGTTAATGTATTATTCAAATCTCAATGTTTGATTTCATAGTTTTTATACAAATCTTACATTTTACCCTATGCATTTTTTTGTTTTAGTGGTTTTTTCATTATGCAAATTATTATAATTAAAGAATATTTTTTAAAGTTCATGGAAGTATTTGTATTATCTTTTAATTCATTTTTTCCACAAACTTTTTGAAGTACCCTTGTATAATAGATAAAAGGAAGAGGGTCAAAAATTTGAAAACCCATGTAAAGATTTTGCTTAGAAAAGAAAAATTTATTATTCATTTTTGTTATTCTTATTATGTAGTATATAGATAAAAAAGATTTCATGTGCCATTTTTATTTCAGTTTTTCCTTTTTTTTTTTTTTTTTGTTGGCTGGCTGGTACAAGCATCTGAATCCTTGACCTTGGTGTTATCAGCACTGTGCTCTAACAAACTGAGCTAACCGGCCAGCCTCCTATTGTAGTTTTTCCTTTTAGAAGTAAGCCATTCACTTTTCTCAGTGTTTACAATGTTCACATTTTTATTTATTTTCCTTAATTTTGTGAATTTCATGGGCTCAAAAGGCAAATCAAAATTTGAAAATTAAAAATGATAGGGAAGGTAGGAAAAATTGTACTAAAGTATACTACATGCAAGAGAAATGTCAACTTTTTAATAGCATCTTGCCAAGTCATTCTGGAAATATGTTATATGTAAGGATTGATTCTGATTGAGAAAAGGGGCAGATAATAAATATTGATGGAATTGTGATTAATGGCAAAGTTAAGGAAGGTAGTAAAAACTGAAAGTTAAGTAAACACAGATACATGTTAATAAATCAAAATTAGATGTACCATGAACCTAGAGAGTTGCATGATTTATCCCTAAAGCAAACAAAACCTCAGCAAAATGTCTGGTAAAACTGGGCATTTTTATTCTCCTAGTGAAACTTATAAAAATGTAAGATCTTGGCAGTAATTTATTGTAGATAAGTTGCCTTTGTCAATTAATAGTAGTATGATGATTACTTCAAAAAATTTACAGAAACAAGAAATTGAGAAACTGATGCAACATACAGCTCATACTGAATATGATGATAGTAATGAATATGAATATGAAGAGATGTCAAAAATGAACGAAGGGAAAGCATGTAAACAACATGTGGCAAAAGGGATTTTCGTGATGCCAGCAGCTGCGACCATGGAAGCATTTTCAGATGAGGAAGTAGATAATGACTCAGGCCAGGCGGAGCCTCAGGCCAACACTGATGGAGAGGGTTTGCAAAAAGAGATATTTAGTAATGAAAATAAAAGTGGTATTGATCATCTTGATGATACGGAAATAGAACAGGAAAGTGATGAAGGACAGAGTCAGAATGATTCAGAAGCAGATGAAATGCTCTCTGAGAAGGAAACTGAGCTAGCTGAAATGGAAAGTCTGAAGGATATAAAAAAAAGTGAGACTAATATAAAAAATACAGATGTATTCTCTGATGACTTACCAGGTAGAGACGTGAATACTGAGAATGAAGAAAATAAAGAGTCTGTTAAGGAAAGGAAAAGTAGCAAGGAAGATGTGATCACTGACAGTGAAAGGGAATCAATAGAAGAGCCGGGCAGTTACATGGAAGGCGAAAGCAAGAGTCAGCAGGGTGCAGCTGATGGATTTGAGCAGCCCAAGTCAGTAGAATTCAGTAGTGGAGACAAAGAGGATGATGAAGTTGAAATTGGCCAAAGCTTGTGGTATAGCAGAAAATTTATTGGACAAGGAAATGAGGAAGAGACCGAGCCCAAAATATCCAAATCCATGCCAACATTTGATTTTAAGTTTGACCACTTGTCAGAGATACCAGAGGAGCAGGAAGGAACAGTGAATTCAGAAAGAAGTGGCGTAGAGGAACAAGAGGTAGAGACAAATGAGGAAAATATGGAGATGCATGGAGGAAGAAAGGAGGAGGAAACAGAGTTCGTGTCAGATGACCTCACAGACAATGCAGAGGTGAGTGAAGGCGAGGGAAAGTCAGGGGGAGAGGCAGAGGATGGGCCTGAAGGTGGAGGGGATGGAATCTGTGAGGAGAGGGATGAGGGCGAGGAGGAGTGTGAAAAAGACAAGGGAAGAGGAGAAATGGAGAGCCTGGTTGAGGGAGAGAAGGACCTAGAAGAGGAGGAAGAATGGGAGAAGGATAAGGAAGATGAGGAGAAAAAGGAGAGGGGACAGAGCCACCAAGAGGAAATAAATCAAGCAGTGGAGGAAGGAGAATGGGAAGAAGAGGAAGAAGGGGAGGAAGAGGAGCAAGGAGAAGAGGAAGGGGAAGGGGAGGAGAAGACGGAAGAGGGGAAAGAAGAAGAAAGACAAGGGGAGGAGCTAGGAGAAGGGAAAGAGGAGGGAGACAGAGAAGAGGATGAAGATGAGGAGGAGGAAGGGGAAGGAGAGGAGGAAGAAGGAAAAGGAGGAGAAGGAGGGAAAGAGGAGGGAGAGGGGGAAGAGGAGGAAGGAGAGGGGGAAGTGGAGGAAGGAGAGGGGGAAGGGGAGGAAGAAGAGGGGGAAGCGGAGGAAGGAGAGGGGGAAGGGGAGGAAGGAGAGGGGGAAGCGGAGGAAGGAGAGGGGGAAGGGGAGGAAGGAGAGGGGGAAGGGGAGGAAGGAGAGGATGAGGAAGGACAGGGGGAAGGGGCGGAAAGAGACAGGAAGGAGAGGGAAGGTGGAGAAAATGGGAAGAATGGAGAAGAGGAGAAAGAAGAGGTTGACAATGAGGAAGAAGAAGGGAAATACCAGGGAACAGGTGAAAAAGAGAAGGAAAGGCAGGTAAGGCAAGGTGAAGGAGAAGAGTCAAAAAAAGTGAGCAAAATAAAGGAATCTATAAAATATGACAAACGTAGGACATGTCAAAAAAAGTCAATTACTAACACAGAGGGAAAGGGGAAAGAGCAGAGGTTCAAAATGCCAGTGCAGTCCAAACAACTTTCAGAAAATGGGCCACCACATTCCAAGAAATTCTGGAATAATGTATTACCACATTATTTGGAATTGAAATAACAAACTTTAAATTTGATCTAATTATGGCCAGCCAAACATTTTGAACACCCTGCATATAATAGCACTCATTGTATTTTATTAAACTGATTTTATGTCACGGTTATTTTGTATGTGTTAAAAAAAAAACAAACTGAAGCCAGTTGTGTTAAGGGGTCCGAAACAACAGGAGGCACTGGTAAATATCTGACTCTTCTTAAACTAATGTCTTGTTATATTTTTCCCTTAAATTATAAATCTATAACTAGAAAATATCAAAAGGTTATATTAGATAATTAACGTTATATATTCCTTATTAAAGACAGATTTAAGAAATAGGAGTGTACTTTAAGAATGTTTTGTTTGTATATACAAATTGGTCCATTTAAAAATGGCACAGGTCCTTAAGGGCTATAAACCCTTCTCATTTCTTATAAATATGTTAGCACATTTTTTTTTAGTCTGTGATGACAGTTTACTTACCACATAGAATAATTTTACAAGAATGGATGATATTCTAAAACTAAACTGAGGAATTCATATTTTAAAGAAACAGTGTTGTCTTTTTACCTTTTATGTGTCCTTTTTGCAAAAATCTACAAAGTGACAGCCATGTTCAGAGTTTATATCCTAATAATGTAATCTCTTTTAGTTACAGTCTAGGTAGATGGCAGTATATTTAATGTAATGGAGATTAATTTAAATGTATAATCTGGAAGTATGTCAAACTTTAAGTGTTTATCAGCCAGGCAAAACTACTCAGTGGGCCTCAGTTTCCACATCTGTAAAATGGAGATGAGATGATATGGTAACTATAGTCTCTCTAACTCTTAAATTATTTTCATTCTAACAGGCTGATTTACCTGTCATTTTTGTTATTTGCATAAAAAATTGTTTTAAGGAAGAAAAATTACACTTTAAAATTTTTATGTAAAGTGTTCTTTACTCTTAAGAAATTATGACAGCTTTAATGTCTCTTTTCTTCTGTAATTCTGTATTTTTAAACTCCCATAATTTTCGAGCTTTAACTGCGCTGTCAGAACCTTCATTTTCAGTATCTGTTACGTGCCCTCATTGTATTCTTTATTGACTAGTCTCTTTTGTCTGTTGCTTGTCAGAATGTTTCAAGTAAAGTAAAAATTAAATGTATATAGTCAGTAATTGTTTATGAAAAGATGAACTGTCTTAATATTAAATGTTGAATTTTAGAGAAGCTAGATTTCCAAAAGAGTAATTTCAATCTTCCCCTTAAATTTTTAGTCTATATAATGTACCTAGTATGATTGTTGTTTTTTTTATATCTCTCTTTTCATCTGATTTCCTTTCTCAGACCCTTCCATATTTTGGACATGAGGGATTTCTTATACTTATTATCAAGGAGGATTTTGATGGTAAACTTCCTGTGAATTTTGTGTAGTTGAATTCTTCATATATTTGATACTCTGTGAGTGAGAAAAAATGTGAGGAGAAAGACTAGGATCATACAAAGTAGAGAATTTCCTAGGAGCAATTGTAAATTTTATCTTAGCTGCAAGGATCTCTGGTAGCATCCCATAACTAAACAAATACATACTGACTTGGCATTGCAGTTCTTTACCAAATTCTACCACATTTGTTAAGCTTTAGTAGAACAGAATTAATACTATGATAAAGTATATGTGCTAAACATGGTTATTTAAAAAGTAGACTTAAAATGATTAAGTAAGATGAATAACAGACAGTGAGTTCATAAAAGAAAAACCTCCAGGGAGATGAGAAACTCTTAAACCCAAGTTATTAATGTTAAAGTTATGGGCATTCATCTTCCATTGAATAGATAATCAGCCAGCAGCAATACTGAAACAATTTTCCAAAATGTGCCGATCTCAGTATTTGAACTGGTCTAGATGTTCATTTTTAAACATTTCTTACCCATTTCTTTAAATTTCCCTGGCCAAAAACTTTTTGTGCTCTTTAGAAGTGGTAGTTCATGCAAGCATAGTGCTCTGGTTAGAAGAACACTGGCCTAGTCATTTTGAGACAGAGCCCTACTTCCAGCTTTGTACTTTCGAGCAGTAGGAACTTGGGCCAGTTTCTTATCCTTTGCCAGCCTCAGTTTCTCGATGTGGAAACGTATAGAAAAGTGATTCTGTAGGAACACAAATTGTTTATTACCAACCAGAGCTTTGTCAAAACCAGAATTTCTAGTATCCCTTTTCCTAAATAAAAAATCTTGAGTCTAGTCACCAAATCACCCAACCTTCAAGCTAACTAGCAGCTTTACTTAAGTAAGCAGTTACCGTAAACTAAGCATACCAACTTTCTGTGCCCACTGTTCAGCGAACATTCATTTAATCACACATGTGGCAGGTCGAGTATCCTTTAGAAGTTTATGGAGAGGAGTTTCTTGCTGGTTAGTGGTGGGGTGGGGGATAAAAGAACCAGGTCTTGACAGACTTTCATGAACAGAAATAGTTTACATATTTGTAAATTGTGTATATATTAAAAGAGAAAAAAAAGGAAGCTTAAGAATGAGACCACTTTGTCCTTCATGAATCAATAATACTTGGTTACATAGATTAAAATAACTGGTTCCTTCTTATGGTCCTCATCTGCTGGTTGCTCAAGCTTTTATCAGTTTATCACTGATCATTATTGTGGAAAGTGTGAGTTGTATATATAGAATCCATTGAGTTACAGTTTCCTAATAAGGACTCTGACAGAAAAATACTTTAAGTTAAGCTGCAAAGGACTACCACAGAAGCATATGCTGCTGCTGAACAGCAGCATTCGAGGTGAGTGCAATTGAAATGTCTTCTGTCGTTTCACTATAGGGGTAAACTTGCTATACATGTATATATCAAAAATAAAATGTGATCATGAAGGAAGTTGCTGTAATTCTTTCCTTCATTCTTTTCATTGTAAAAATTCTATGTGATATTGTGTGCCCAGTACCTGACACATAACTAAATATTTGGTACATATTCTTTATTCAACAAATATTTATGTACCAAACACCAAAAAAAAAAAAAAAAAAAAAAAAAGATGCTTCCCCAAGTCAGGTAGATCTCAAGATGTGAGGTGAGTTTACAGTCAACCTTCTGTAGCCCTCTTACCTGTCATGGACTTTAGGTATAGGTTTCTCAAAAGAGCACCAAGTAAAAGGATTTCTTGTGACTGCCGTAACTATTTAACAATGCCCTTTTGTTTCCTGATATTCCTATGCTCTTAGCCAGGGCTGCCCAAAGATAAAAAAATATATAATCTGAAAACAAATCTATGGCTTTCCCCCATTAAATCCTTTAATTAATGAGAAGAAAATGGTTTTGTTTCTTGGATACAGCCCCTGATCTCAAGGAATGCTTGGGCCATTTCTATGGGCTGGGCAGAAATTTTACTAGTACAATAGAATGCTTCAGGAGTAGAACTTCAGCTGCCACAGAGAAAGGTTAAGAAAGGGCTTCCAAGGAGAGAATGGTGAAACTTGAACTGAGTAATGTCAAGTAAAACTTAGCCAGGCAAAGGGGTTGAGGGGAAGGGGGCTTTCCAGGCCCCCTGGAAATGGGCATTGGGAGAGTTTTGGTGTGACTGAAGCCTAGAGTATACTTTGGTCCTAGGGAAAGAGGCAAAGGGCCCTGTGTGTTTATAAAAGATGTTAAAACAAAAGAGTTTGTTGGCCACACTTGAGTTTTTGTAAGCTGCCCTAGCTGCCAGATTCCTGGCTCAGAATAAAAGGATGCACAGACAAGGGTAGAACAAATAAGTGGACACTTTAAATGAGCTATTTGTTAGTCATAAGATCTGAGACATTATGGTAAAAAATGTCCAAGTTTCTTGGTTTTTGATAGTTTTCAATACACACTAGGAATTCTATTATGGAGGGGCCTTTACAATCACTTATATTTATGTAGAAATATATAGTATTTGCTTATATGTTATTTTCTCTTTAAATAATCTTTTTCATCTTTACATAAACCCTCTGAGGTAGGTGTTGCTAATGTTATTTTTCCATTTTACAGATAGACTGTAAAGTACCATTAATTAGGTGCCATGCTCAGGCCGTGAGTGATATAGCAAGGCTTGGAAAGCAGTGCTTAGATCCTTAGATCTTTGTATTTCATGTCTTTCCCACTTTACTACTGCCTCAACAATTCTAGTGTAGTTAAAACATGAACTTACATGTTAACTTTTCCTGTCCTAAAAAAATAGCATTGAAATTGAGATTTTAAATATATACTTTCCCACCTGATAAGCTTAAAGTTTTATGCTATATTAATCTACTTAGAAAACATTCTCTACCCTGTATGACATTGATACATAATTTTATGCTTTATAGTTTTGTTTTTTTCTGGTTTTCTTTTTTACTTAAAAAAAAAACCCCTATAATACGCAGAGAAAAGTGCATATTTCATACATGTATAGCTCAATGTGTTTTTCACAAACTGAATACACCCATCACAAATTGATCAGCTTCTAGATCCAGGAAGCTCCCCAGAAGCTCCCCTTCTTCCAGTTATTTTCCCCCTCCCCATCCCCCATAACTACTATGCAGACTTCTAATAGCAATCCCTAGTTCCTAAAAGCGTGTGATGTAATTGTGCTCTTAAGCAAACTGAAGCCTCACGAGTAACAAGTAATGTTTGCTTTCTTGATAGCTCCCAAAAGAAATATAAAAAGTTTTGCCCTGGCCGGACTAAACACTGCAGCTCACTGTATTGTGTCTGACCAATCAAACAGGGGTCCTTTTGTGAAGTCAGGCCCATTTACTTCTTTACTATGTTCCTAACACAAGACATGTACTTGATCATTCCAGACTACCTCTTTACATCTTATATGGTTCTAGTGCCAAGAATGTACGTAAACATTACCCTTTCATTTTGTAAAATGACAGTATTCTGCCAGTCTCTCCTAAATTGTTTGTTTGAAGGTAAGTGCTTTCTGTGATTTAAAGTAGTTGTGCAGATGTGTGTCTAGAATAATTTTAAATGTGCTTAATAAGTGCAAAGTGGATTTCTAGTGAAAATGTCATTTTCTAATAGTTTTCCTCAAATTTAGAAAATGATATAGTTCCAGCATTTCTTCATTGTTATAGATTTCCTTATAGTTAACAAGTAAAATTGTAGTTCATTATAAGAGATGGGTGTTTTCCTTATTTCTAAAATAAGGTAAAACTCCAAGTTCCTTTTTATAATAGCATGATATTATCCTATGATTACATTAATGCCTTAGTTAACAAACCCGGTTGGAGTTGACCCAGGTGCTAGATTAGCCAAACACTCCAAATAATTGAGGACTATGCTGGAACACAGCTCACTGACCCTCCCTGAGACAGAGGGGTATGGTCTGAAATTTTCTGTCTCAGGAGCACTGTTCATTCTAGTTAGCCTTTCATTTATGTATATTTATGAATACATCTATTTACCAACCATAAGTCTTAAATCTAGTACTCTTGCTTCCCATTTCCTTTCAAAGTAAAGTTGTCTCTGATAATTTTAGCTACCCATAATGTGCATCTTGTTAGACATAGTATACAATATAAGTCATTTTGAGGGTAAATCATGCAGGAAAAAAGAAAGCTTTAGAAGTTATTGGTAAATGTTACCTTGTGGTTAACTCTACCCAACCTAACCAATCATCCTTTCATGTAGCTGTCTGCCCTTTGTACCATGTTTCCCTCTCCCATGTTTCCCTCTGCATCATGACCTTGGAATAACCTAAATCAATTTCTCCCAGAGTGACTTCTGAAATTCTTTTTTAAATCTCAATGCTTCACTTATGGATTGCCTGCCCTCAGTGAGAATGCTATTAGGACACACCTTTAGTTCCACTGGCCTGAGGATGCCACTTGTATTTATTACTAAGGCATGCAATATGAACATATCTTCTCCCTAGCCTGAACTCTCCTATTTTGTATTTTTACCAGAAGAAAGGTGAGTTAATTATTAGAGGCATTGTTTTCAAACCACTTACTAAAGATTCTGTTGGGTGTCAGACTTTATCCTTAGCCAAACAGCCACTGGGACTGACCACCAAAAGCCAGTTACAAGGTTGTAGAGGGTATAAAGGATGCATATGGTCTGAAGCAGACATTGCCAAGGTGAACTTTGTACAAATGTTATTCAAGGGAATGAATGGCATTGATTACTGTCTCACTTATTTTAGAGGTTATTATAACTTTAGGGAAGCATGTAAATGAAAGTACAGGGGGAAAAAAATCCATTAAGGAACCCAATTTCTCAATGACAGTCAATAAGAATATTCTACCCAAAATATGAAACTGCAAAAAAAAAAAAAAAAAAAAAATCTCAATATAGAATAAAGGCTAAAACTAATAGTTTTCTGCTTATACATAATAAGCATTACATGATTTAGTATCAATTTGTCAAATCTATAGACAGGCTGTTTTATAATTTGAATTAGCTGGCCAGTAGCCAGATAGACCAAGTTCTGCCTCTGTTTGGTTTTTCTTCTTTTAATAACCAAGAGCAACCACTTAAACTGTCTTGTTTCTTTAACTTTTTCCTGGTATGTAAATCATTATACTTATCTCTCTCATGATTGTATCATGAGAGTTGTATTTCTGTTTTTGAAAATGAACATAATATAGAGATATGATTATGTATTGATGCTACAGAAGATAGAAAGCTTTTTAACTTCTCTCAAGTTTAAAAGAGTTCTTTTGAGAAAGCCAAGAAAGCATATTTAACTTTTTTTTTCCTTCACTTTTACCTGGCCATAGGTGTTAGCAGAATTTGGGGAATCCTAGTTCTTGAAATGGAGCATCATGGATAAAATCCTTCATAATATAGTAACTTGATATTCAGCATGGATTATGTAGTGTTTTATTTCTTCCACTTTCGTATTTGAATTAATATTCTCTATATTATTTGACATGGTATAAATCATTTATGAGAGCAATATCAAATCTCTATTTAAAAAAAAGTCTTACTCTCTTCTGATGATTAATTTTGTTACAGAATGATGAATTTTCAGAAAATGAAGAACTAGAAACAGAAAGTGTGGATAAGGAATTTAATTCTGAAAATCTGGAAGACGAGGAGAAAGCTGTGGATGATAATGAAAATGTCCTTTCAGATGACCACAGTGAAACAGAAGAGGCAGAAAGAAACAAGGACAACTCAGCTACAACCATTCAAAAGGTGGGATGATAGGTCCTTAAATCCTGAGATCTTGCCTAAAAGAAAGTAAATGGGTCCCCTGGTGCCTGAAGAGGACAGATTCTAACTTCCTTTGGGAGCAGAAATACTTCTATTAATTACTTCACTCATGTGCCGTAGGAAAGTCCTTGGTTAATTTAAGAATCCTGCAAACTTTGTCTCTAGCACACTTTCTACATTGCTTGGTAGCATCCTCTTCCATATATGAGTAGAAGTTGACTGGTATGGACCAGAATAATACACTGTTAGGAAATTAACCGAGGACTTTTGGACCTGGTTCTTGTCATGCTGGAAATACAAAATTAGGAGCCCTGGCACTGGCGGCAGAAATGGGATGTGTATGTGTATGCATATGGATATATTTACATGTGTATGGACAAATGAAGTTGGTCACAGCAGTATTTGAGGTTGTGATCAGTTCTTTACAGATGCAGACTAAGTATGTACAGGAGGAATAGAAGGAAGTATCACTAAGGAAGCAAAAATCATCCTAAAAGAGGAGCTAGGGATACCAAAAACATAATATCTTCTATTTGGCAGTTTTGCCTGAGAGCAGCCCTGCTAGGAGACAGTTGGTAGGTTTGAAATCATTTGTTTGCTACCACTACTCTGGATTAATTTCAGAGGTGTGGGATTCTGAAACCCAAACTGAAAGACATTGTACTGATTTATTTTTGTTTTTGTTTTTTGGACCTCTCATGCAGAACACTGAGTTAGTCATGCCTTCTAGTTGATGAAATACTCTCATCATTGGTCTATGCAAGGCTCTTCTCTATTATTTAAACTTATTCCCTTTTAGCCCTGTTCCTGTCCTCTTTTTCCCTAACATAGACAGCCACTGAAACCTACTTGTCCTTTTATTTGAATGTGTGCTTGTAAAATATGTATTGATTTGTGTGCATGTATTTTTAATTTACAAAATGGTATTGTGCTATGGAGGTTTTTCTCTTCCTCAGTTCCTTCTTTTTCCAAGACTCCTTCCTATCACTGAGGAAAAAAATGTCCTAGTAGTTAATGTTTTCTTTCAGAGGAAAAGAACAATTCTGTTTATAGGGAACATTTATGAGTTCAGGTTAGGAGGTCCCTAAAATTCTTTAACATAGAAATCATTAAACAGAAATCATATACCAATTAGTATTCCTGAATCTTCTTTGAGGAGAATTCTTGAGTCAATTTTATTTAATCATACGATTTTAAGCTAGGAGGGCATTAGAAATTAGCATCTAAGGCGCCTCATTTTACGAGAGCCCAGCAAAATGAAGTAATTGTCACGTTTATGTAATTAGCTAGAGGCAGACTTTGGAACCCTGCTTAAAAATCAAGACCAAGTTTTTTAGCATAGCACAAGTATGTCTTTTGTTATATTATTTCTTTATTGTTTATAGGGAGGAAAAGCCAACCTAGAAGAATGGGCCATTTGTGAATACAATGAAAATCCAAAAGGTATGAGCGTGTTTGACTTCAAAAGCATGTTTTTAAAAGGGTGGATATATAACATGCATACATATGTACATACATATAAATGCACATGTATGCCATTTGGGTTAATTATAAGTTTATACATATATATTCCACTTTATACTTTTTACTGTCACATGACCCTCATAATAAGCTATGAAATGTCACATGAGTTTATTTGTTCATATTTATAACCACCACAGTTTCTTCATATACAAATACATTAGTCCTGGCTGCTCAAGTGTCAGTATTAAGGGAATTAGGATAGCCTTATTACTGCCTTTTTTTCCCTCTACTCACCCAGTATTATTGAGTCAGGCTTTAGACTTTTTTGAGTCAGACTGATGAGCACTGCTGGACCTCATTGTCCAAGTTAGGATTACTGGGCTAGCCGAGAGCCACAGCAGCCATGCAGCTATTTTCACAAGAGCCCAGACCTGAATCTCTGGTCTTACCATGGACATCAAAGAGAAGTTCTTTCCCAAGCCTCGCTGTTGGCGTCAGAGAACAGGAGCCATGGAATAGAGGAGACTATGATTGCCCTGAGTCCTACATTTTCTAGATCCAAATCATCTGTGTTTTTGCTATACAACTCCTTCATTGTTTTCCACAGCATCACATGGCAATATGCTTTCTACTGTGTTCTCATGAAAAGCAACTATTTGTAATACTGAATATCTGATCTAAACCTAAGCAGAAGAAGGAATAGTTTCCTTAATCCTTTTATCCTTCTAACTTCTGCAGAAAGAGTACTAAGTTTTAGAATATTTTAGGCAAAGTGTTAAGATATTTATCATCTCTAAGTATTCTTAGCATATAGCCTAAAGTGTTAAAGTGTTAAAAAGAAATTAAATATAAGTTTTTAAGTAGTTGATTATATAAAATTAAAATAGTTCATATGTTTTATAAGTATACTTAAAAGAATATAACTCAACTATATAACATGTGGATTAATTTGAAGCACCAAAAAGTAACATGTCTATTTGAGTATAAAGAATTTAATTATATCTAGGTTAATTAAAAAAAGAAAAAAAAAGTAATTTATATTTTACAGAATTCTTCTCTTACATTTACTATTACCTTTGTAGCTATATTTGGACACTGGTCATCTAAACATTTATAATATTGGTCAGGTTATTCTGAGCTATTCACCTTAACTCAACTTTTCAGGAAATATGCAGTGCAGACATTATCCACTACTCCAGTACTGAGCTCTTTTCATATTACCTCACAACTCAGGGTGATAGAGTTTAACTGAAAGCATCAGGTCTTTTTCTTTTTCTCATTAGTTAGATATTTCTAAATGTATCCAATTTTAGGAAACGTGCATGCTCATGCAAGGAGCAGTTTTTCAGAAGTCCTGGAAGATAATGAATTGACACGAAATAAAGACATAAAAAAACCAAAGAAGGTAAGTGAACTGAACTTTTCATTTTAGTGTTAAGACCAAAGTATTGAACTGCTCCTTCTACTTTTCATATGGTGATCCACATAATTTAGATCCCTTAATATGAGTTTTTATGGCCTCAAAATATGAAGAATTTCATATTAAAATGTTTCACATTTTTAATAGAACAGCTTTCCTTTGGTTAGCATTTGCCCGATAGATCTTTCCCCCTTCCTTTCAGTTTTACTTGTGTTTTAGATGTGTCTGTTGCAAATGGCCATATAGCTGGATTTTGCCTTCGGAATTTTTAACATGCATATCTAAAATCTAAAGCTAATCAATATTCTTACCTTTTTCTCAAATCATACTGGGATTTTAGAAGAGTTTTCTCTCCTATCACTATTTCTTTTCCGTTTTACAAGTTATTATACCCAGTGTTTCAATTTTTTTAACTTCAAAAATCATATGTTGTTACTACTTTTTATACCACTTTCTTTATTCACCGTTTCTTTTTACATCTCAGATGTTTTTCTGGTATCCTTCTTCTTCTTCCTGAAGAAATTCTTTGGGATTTCCTGTCATAGGTGCCTTTTGGTAGTTAACACTTTCAGTTTCCATTCATTTGAAAGTATCTTTATTTTACCATAGTTCTGGAATTATAGTATGGCTGGTTGACAGTTATTTTCTCTTGGTATTTGTTCCCACTGTTGCTGTTAAGAATTTTGCTTTAGTATAATTGCTAATAACTTTGTATATAACCTGTCATTTCTTTCTGGCTGCTTTTTAGATTGTTTTTGATGTGTTTCAGTTCACTATGAGATGCCTAGGCGAATTTATTAAATTTTAACTTTAGAATATATTATGACTCTTAAATCTGAGAGTTCATGTCACTCATATTTTTTAAAATTCTCATTATAGGGCCGAGCCCATGGCGCACTCGGGAGAGTGCAGCGCTGGGAGAGTGCGGTGCTTGGGAGTGCAGCAGCGCTCCCGCCGCGGGTTCGGATCCTATAGAGGGATGACTGGTGCGCTCACGGTGCTCACTGGCTGAGCACGGTACAGCCGGTCTCAAAAAGGACAAAAAAAAAAAAATTCTCATTATATATTTGAATATTTTCTCTCTCCTTTTGAACCTTGATATAAAACTTTTCATTCTAATGTCCATATCTTTTAATATCATTTTTATATTTTCCATGTCTAAATGATATTCTGGGTAATTATAGGGCTTTTGTCAATTTGATAGTATCTCTTTAGCTGAGTGTACTCTGCTATTTAATCTACCTGTTGAGTTTTAATTTCAGTGATTGTATTTTTTACATTTTTAAGTGAAGTTCCATTTTGGTTCCTTTTCAAATCAATGTGGTCTTTTAAAAATTAGTATTTTGCTTTGTGTTCATGTTTTTTTATTATAGTCTTTTAAACAATTTAAGCATGCTTATTTTATAGTTTGTATTTACTAATTCCAATGTCAGATGTCCTTAGAAATCTAAATATGTGTGTTGCTTTGGCTGACTTGCTAATGGTGACTTGTTTCCCTATGTGTTTTGAAATTTCGATTGTGAGTTCATGTTCAGCCAGGACTTTTTTGTAGAAATCCTATAAGGCCTAGATTAGAGTGAATCCATTTATAGATAATTTTTATTAGCCTCTGTTAACTCTGACATAGCTAAAGGACGACTTTAAGTTAATTTCTCAGTTAAGGGTTGCCCACCCAGTAATGTAAATATGAACCCCAAACTCACATTAGCAAAACGTTTTTCTCCTTCACTCAAATGCTGGACTGAAAGAAACATATTATTTTGTTATTTTCCAATGTTTGTAGGTAGATTTACATTAAAGGCATAGTCCTTAAAAGGTTCTCACATTATATAGGGGTCTCAGTTCCAATTACTCATGTTCTGTTAGATCAAATCTGTTAAAACCCAAGGGTCTAAGTTATGAGTTCAACAAATGCCATTTTAGTACTCACTCACCTTGGAGGCTTCCTGCTCCTTTTTCATTTTTTGGCCCATGGTTTGGATTTTTCTTAATTTTTTGTGAGATTACCTGCGCATTATAAAATTATATTTTTTATATTTATGCAGCATTTCTTAGTATTTTGTAGTGGCAGAATTTTTCAAGATGTGTTTTCCTCTGTCGTAGCAGGAAAAGGAATTCCTCCATTTGAATCCATAGGCTCTTTTTCTAGACTGACTTTTTTGGTTACAACTTTTTAATGTAGTTCCTCCATTCTTTAAGGCTAAAGGTGAGCTATTATTATTAGCACCATTTTGATATCTGAAAAAGCCAAGTCCTCACCTGGTTTTTGTTTCCTGTCTTTCATTTCTGGCATCTCAAAACCATTATTTTGGTTGTCACTCTTTAAGGATCCTCTGTTTAAGAATCCTCTATTTTCTCTCTGGCTAATCCTCAAAGGGCCTGAATCAAATGAAACTTTTTACTTATCATCTTACTTGATCTCTCCTGCAAGTGGCCCTTTTGGCCACTCCCTTCTTGATATATTTTCCTCACATGGCTTCTGAGCTGCCTCATTTTCCCAATTTTGCTTCTACAAAACTCAGTCCTCAGTGCTGGCTCATTTTCCTCTGCCTGTCTCTCACTCTTTGCTCTTCCTCACTCTCTCTTCTTATTTTTTTTCCGCCTGCCTGCAATTCCCAGGTTACTAGAGCTACTTTCATCTCTTCAGCTATTATCTGTATTCTGCATATCTGTAGCCCTGGCCTCCCCTGAGCAGCAGCTCCGTATATTCAACTGCTCACTCAGACCCATTGGACTCTCACAGCCATTGTTTGGCAGCACTAACATTTTGCCAGAAGTTCTGATCTACAGGAATAGGGAGGTATTTCTTCCTCCTCCAGAATATTACAGTAGAAGTTCTCTGTAGCTGCCCATATGCTGGGCATTGCAGACATGTCCTGAAAATAACCCATCCTGGTTACATTTAAAAGTTATGATAAGTAATATCCCAGTTTTCTTTTTTTTTTTCTCTTACAACTTAACAAAGTAAAATACTAAATTTGTTCTTTGAAGAAAAATGATAATATATTACCAAGATGTTGATCGTATTGAAAGTTAGACCCTGAAAAGTCTTGTTGTAGGGTGGAATCATAACTGCATTTTGGTAAAAGGAAAATGATGGATACTAAGAATGTACCATTGTACATGTGATGCCCCATAAAGATCTGATGGAATCATATTCATACTTGTTGAAAACGATTCCCCCTAAATACTATTAAGTGAAGGTTTCACTTACTGAAATGAGCTATATTTGTTTGTGTGTGTGTTTTTTTCCTAGATTTTTCTCTTTAAAAGGATATTATTGACAAGTCAGAAAAGTAAACCTCTCCCAGGAATAAAACCAATAGGAGATCAAATGCCCTTTAAAAGCAAAAAGGAAGGTGCCAGCAAGAACCATATGGGGCAAACTCATCAGGATGCTTCACCACCAAATAGACAGAGAAGGTCAAAATCTTGTATGATACTATAAATATATATTTATGTTTTCATGGTCACCAAGCAATTGTTCTTAAGTAATTTATGCTTGAAAAACTTTATGACTTCTGAAGGAAAGTTTCTGATAACAGACTTTTAAAGATGTAAGTTAATATGTCTTATTTGGTTTGAGCATTATGACCAGTTTTGATATTTATTTATGCTAATATTTTTAACAAGCAGTTTGACAATATGTGTATCTCAAACTCTCCTCCAAGTGTTGTGGCCTTAACTGTTCAGTGTTGCAATAAAAAATATATTTTTATAAGTGAAAATTAAATTAAGATATTTCATAGTTTTTACTGAACAATTTTACTTTATAATTTCAAAGGCAATATTTACAATCTCATGACACTGTAACAGTTTTTAATGTATTTGCAATTTTTTAAAAAAGGCAGAATTGTTTATAATGAACATTTTAATAAACTATATCTGGTCGGTTCTGTTAAAATGGATTAGTATGAGTAAAATTTGGAGGTACTTGGAGTTGTCAATTCACAAAGTGGGAGCAAAAAAATCTAATTTTAAAATATTGAAGGATGGAAAATGGATTTATCCCCGAGTAAAGAAAATATCCATGCAACTGTGAAAACAATACATCTTTGTGGAGAAACTGAGTGTTAGAGTTTCTTTGCTTCCCAATTCTTTCTTTATGGAGGTTATTTGGCATGAAAACATTGCAGATTATGTGGTGTGATCTGGAGTGTTTGACCATGCCACAGATTGCCACCGTAAGAAAACTGAACACAGGCAGCCTTGCTCATTTCAGCTGGCTCAGTCACACAGTGCTCTGCCACAGCAATAGGAGGCATAAACTGTTAAGTCTACTCTGAGAGAAAAATTTCTTTTCAATGCTCACAGGTCCTGCTTATTCAATGCAGCAAACGACCTTCATTTTCCTCATTCTAGCTTATGAATAAAACATTTTCTTCTTCGATCACAGTGACTGTTTCCCCAAAGAAAAAAGAAACTCCATCTTTACATTTCATGCACAAGGGTTGCGAGGATGTTATTCCAGAGTAGATGTGATCTTGAAATCTTACAAAATAGTCTTATGTGTCAATATTACATTTAGTAGAATTCTATTTTAATTAAAGGTAAATACAATAGAAAATTTTGGCTATTGCAACTTCAGTACTAGTACAATATTGCAAAAATACTTTACCAAAATATAAACTACAGGAGCCACGTGGAAGTAAAGCTCACAAATGGTATTAAGACATAGCATTTGTGGTGGCAGAATTCTAAGATAGCCCCCAAGGTTCCCACCTTCTGTTGCCACATGCACTGAATAATCCCTTCCCCCTTGACTGTGGGTGACCAGTGAATATGATGGTCACTCCCTTGCTTAGGTTACATGATATGGAAAAGATGAAAAATTTTAAAGATATAATTAAAATTCCTAATCAGTTGACTTTAAGTTAAGCAGAAAGGAGATAACCCTAGGTGGCCCCGACCTAATCAGGTGAGCCCTTTCAAAGAGGTTCTAGAGGTTCTACATGGAAGAAGTCAGAGAGATTCAAAGCAGCACAGATACCCTCCTTTTGACCTTGAAGAAGCTAACTGCATATTTATGGAGATGGCCATATGCTAGGGAGTGGTGCACAGCCTCTAGGATCTAAAAGCCTCAGTCCTACAAGTGCAAGGAACTGAATCCTGCCAACAACCAGTGAGCCTGGAAGAGGAAACAGATCCTCAAATTAGACTACAGCCCTGGCTGATACCTTGATTGCAGCCTTGTGAGACCCTGAGCAGAGGACCCTGTTGAGCAGTGCCCAGACTCCTGACCCATGAAAACTCGGAGATAATAAATATATGTAGTTTTAATCCGTTAAATTTATGGTAACTTATTATACAGCAATAAAAACTAATATCGGTTGTGTTGGAGAAGGGCTTCTCTGTATGGTGGCTTTCCTTCATCAGAGCCAGCAAGGGAGAGAGTTAGTAGAGTCTGCTAGCAAGACAGAGGTCACAGTTTTAAGAAACATAGTCATGGAGTAGCATCCCACCATCTTTGTCATATTCTAGTGGTTAGAAGCAAGTCACAGGTCCCACCTACACTGAAGGGGAGGGGTGACACAAGGGCATGAATACCAGGAGGCAAGGATCATGAAGTCTGCCCTATTGTCTATCCATCATACTGGTCATTTGGACAGTCATTCAAAAGGAGAAAGGGACAGCTTAGAGACCAAATAAATCAAATAGCTTTTAACCTAATTGCTTAGTTCCAAAGAAAGGAAGTGAAGTATAAAACTTGGAAGAGGTGGACATGTGACAAGCCTCACCAAACTGATAAAGTATCCCTGCTTTGTCAGAAGTCTCAGAGCAATTTATACCTTTTATAAGGTGGATTGTTGAGAATCATCAACAACAAGAGTGAATTTTAATGGTAAGACGGTAAATACTTTTGTAAAAACCATTATAAAAACATACCAGCCATCTGCCTTTCAACTGTGAATGCTTGTATATTTCTTTTTCCAAATTTGGTTTTGTATCTAGCTTTTGCATTGAAGAAATACTGAGTACTTCTTATGTGCCAGATGTAATGCCAGAAACTAAGAAAACAGAAAGTCACAGTAACATGGGAGTAAAATGAAAATAGTGTATGGCTCTGATTATCAATTGGAGATATTAGGGCAATTTAAAAACCTGAGTTTCATTGGATGGAATGGAGATTAGTGGACACTAAACTTAAAACAAACAAACAAAAAACAGCTAACATATCTGAGAATTTTTTTATAAAAAACAAAATATTGATAGAATTGAGTATAATGATCAAATTATACTACTTCTAAAAATAAAAGGAATTGCATTTACCAGTAACCTTATAGCTTTACAAAAAAATGATTTCTTTCAATCTTTAAACTCTTCATCTTTGTTATCTCTTCCAGTAATTCCCCTTACCTCTCTAGTGATGTTGCTTTAAACTTACTTGTTGATCTTAATGGGACCTGAGAATAGAATCCATTGACTTGAACATTATGGAGACACTGACATTGTTAAGATATATTATGGATCAAAATGCTAAATGGATATTAATTTTTTAAATGTCAGTAGTGATAGGATTTTTTAAGTCTTATAAAAGAACATGAAAATCCATGTCAAAACATTAAAGATAAAAGAAAAATTGGTAGTCACAAATACTGTCCTATATATGAAGAAGAAAATGTATAGTTCTGGAAAGGTGCTTGTATTAATTTCTCAAGACCACCTTAACAAAGTACCACAAGTCGAGTGGCTTAAAACAACAGATATGTGTTGTCTCACGATTCTGGAGACCAGAAATCCAAAATCAAGGTGATGGCAAAGCCATGCTGCTCCCTCTGAAGGCACCAGGGAAGGATCTGTTCCAAGCCTCTCTCCTAACTTCTGGTACTCTCAGGCCTTCCTTGGCTTGTAAATACATCACTCCACCCTTTGTCTTCACATGGCATTGTCCTCTTGTGTCTCCACATCATCTTCCTTCTGTGTATATCTATGTCTGTATCCAAATTTCTTTTTTATAAGGACAATAGTCATTGGATTAGAACCCATCCTAATTACCCCATTTTAACTTGATTACCTCTGTAAAGACCCTATTTCCAAATAAGATCACATTCTGAGTTACTGGGATTATGATTTCAACATACCTTTTTTTTTGGGGGGTGCACATTTTAACCCATAACATCATACAAACAATAACCTCAGTTGTTTAGTGTTCTAATCTCTTAAATTCTTACTATTACTTTCCTAAAATGTAGAGACTCTTCCTAATTGAATGATATGTCTCCAGTGGAGACACTTTGTGATGTTGAAACTTCCATTTAATGTATCCCCAGTTATGGCAAAGCAGGAATTGTGTGGCAGGGTTATCTTTTTTGGGACCCCAGACACAGTGGGCAAGTAGTAAATGCTAAATGGTTACCAAGAAAATGATCACATTTACAGTTACAAAGTTTAGACAAGGATTTGTTTCTTAGAAATTCTGTACACACATACGTTAAGAACTCAGTTCTTTAAAGTATTTACTACGTGTTTCATTGCAGTACAGTTCTACTACCCATAGGCTATTATAAATCCATAGAGGAAAATGAAAGTCTTTCCATGAGCAGGAGAGGCTCTGTCTCTTCTAACAGAAGGAGTGAACACCATCTGAAGCATCCAAAAGGGGAAAATTTGGCCAACTAGTTTTATAATCATCAGGATTGGCAACAGGAATAAAGCCCAAATTATTGTCACAGGCCTCTACCCATAGCAGACCCAAATGGCAATAGAACTAGAGACAAGATTCAAAGTAATTATTTTGGGACAGAGCCAGACTGATTTCTTTATTATGCTCCTCAACTTCAATTAAGAGCTTTTTCTGCCCACGTTCATTTTGTGAGGCTACCAAAATTGAAAATATTTCCATACTTAATTTTTTTTTTTTTTTTGGCCAGGGCACATGGCTTAAAGATTTTTCATATGATAGTAGTTCTTTTAAAAGCTTAGAGCATCATTTTAGACAAGTTTAAAATGTCCTTTACCTTTTTCTGTTTTTTTTTTTTTTTTTTGGCCAGGGCACATGGCTTAAAGATTTTTCACCCCCCCCTAGTTCTTTTAAAAGCTTAGAGCATCATTTTAGACAAGTTTAAAATGTCCTTTACCTTTTTCTGTTTTTTTTTTTTTTTTTACCGTGTAAGAATGAAAAATAGATAAGTAAAAAGGGGAGACAAAGCAAAAGGTTGAAAAATCTTCATCTCAGGAACGAAGGGGATATTTTATTGAATTGAATACAAAATGCATTTAAATCAGGGTTTGTGTAACCAAATTATCTTCAAAGGCTAGGCAGGTAAGCATACTGGAGCTGCTGCCACTCTGTTCTAGCTGATAATTTCTGTGTTTTCCAGTACTGGGCTCAGATTGCCAGACCCTCGGCTGTTTTAAAAAGAAGCTGGAAATCTGGGTTTTCATATGGAAAGCTCATTTGTGGGTGCTTATGATGTGTGTGTGTGTGTGTGTGTTTGTGTAAGCTTATAAAGGGCCAAACCGTAACTGCAGGTCAAATTTGGCCCACACGGAGCCAAGTTGTGACCTCTATTTTAAACAAGGTACATTATTTTGGCAGGAGAAATTAGTTTACAATGAAAACATGTTGAAATCATTGGGCCCTGGATTTATCTCAGTTGTAATCTTCCCTAATTCGATTTTAGATTTTAAGCAGGAAATGAGAGTTAAAGAATTACCTAGAAAAGTGATCATTCTACTAAGGTAATTTTTTGTTGTTGCATACAGTTAAATACTAAGCCTTCGTGGGAGTGTGGGGAGTTGGGGGAATGAGGCAGTGCAACTGCATTGAGTACAGTGAAGTAAGATGTCTCTGCTAGACGAAACTACAGTAAAGTTGGGGGACTACAGACTAACAGATGTTTTGATAAACATTCTCTCAAACAATTGGGAAAGATGATTACTTTTTCA